CAGCAAGTTAAGAATAAATTATACATATAGATTAATTTAAGTTCACAACTTAAATTAAAACGTTATGTGAAGTTTGAATAAATTAGATAAAATGTTATGGATAAATTGAATAAATGTGAAGTGATAAGTTGATTGTGACATTGAAATTGTATGGAATGAGCATCGAGATGTTTTTACGAATAAAAGTGAAGTGATAAGTTGATTTTAATGTATACATTTTAATATATATGTTAATGTTAAAATCATATGTATGGATAAATTTAATTTCAATTTAAGTATTGTGAACTATAATTGGAATATAACTTTTAATTTCGAATACAATTGGAATATTAAGTTGAAATTTAATGTTAAATTTCGAATACTATAATTTATATTTTAATTTTAAATTTTGAATAATATTATTTTTATTTTTATTTTAAATTTTGAATAATATAATTTGTATTTTAAAAACATTTATCAAACATTTAATGTTAAATGTGAATAAAAAATAACATTAAAATATGTATGTAACAACCATGAAACATTTAAATAACATAACCAAATTACATAAAATTCTGAAATATAACTATTTAAATAACATTAAAATACAACTGGATCACCGATGTCGTATTCTAGAATGAGTTCCACATGGCGTGGTTGTCTATTTCGTGGAGGATTTCTTCGTGGAACTTTTTCTTCAGTCTCCTCATCTTCACTATCATCATCATCAACATTTTCTTCATTTGGTGTAGATGACGCTGAAGGGGCTGAAGGGCCTGTATAAAATAAAGACCCTGGAGGAGTGCTAGTAACAATCCCACCGCTCCCCGGGAACTGTGAAAACTGTGGAAACATTAGCATCGATGTCTGTGATCCAGATGGAGATTGAGGTGTCTGCGGAGAAGCACCACCAACCAAATAAGATGCATATGTACCATATGTTGGATCATTAAACATAGTCGTATATGCACTTCCATATGGTATAAAATCCTGCGGGCTAGGCATGTAACCTGGCGGGCTAGGAATATAACCCTGCGGGCTCGGAATGTAACCTGGCGGGCTAGGAATGTAACCCTGCGGGCTTGGAATGTAACCCTGCGGAGATGACATATGAACTGGTGGGCTTGGCATATGAAGTGGAGGGTTGGGCATGTACCCCTGCGGCATCGGTGGATAAGGATGTTGTGGTGGGATTGATGCAGAACCGGTAGCGCCTTTTCTCCATCCACACGTCGGGGGACGATGATATTGAGACGGTTGACGTCTTTCTCGGCGCCTAGGAATGCTAACCCCTCGTGCTTCCGCCGAAAGTAGAAACGGCTTCCCATTTTCATTAAACCAGCCCATATAGTTATCTGTAACCATATGACCAATTTGAGCGTAATATTGTCGAGGGGCCAACAGTGCATATCGGTTCTCCCAAAGCGCAATCCAATCTTTGTGTCTCACCACCCAGTTAACCTCTTTCTTTCCTCGTCTATCTATGTTATACACGTCGTCTAAATTCCTAGGTGCTCCAGGAATATATTGCGTACAACCATACTGACGGAGCACACGATCAACTGGATGCCACTCAATAATAGCATAACATATAAGAGGTATAATCGACATCCATACCTCTAATGACCCACTAAGGTGGGGTGGGATGCAAGCCTTCACTTCATCGCTCGCATAAGGTATCCACTGAAACTGAAATATAAATATACAATTCAAATAAATAAAATATTCTAATTATATCTAGCATTTTAAATTAAAATATTAATATTTAAACAGATTTAAAAACATACCTCAGACCCAGCTTTAGTATCAATAAGTAAACGAATTTCCTCTAACCTAGTAGGTATACTTTTATGGTTCTTTCTTTTCATCGACCACCTATGAAATATAATATAAACTAAATATCACCCTATTTAATTAAAAATATTTAAATCAAAATTTAGTTCGAAAATTACCTCAACAATAAGGGGAATACGTATGGTTCATTCACGATCGGACATAAGAAAGGCATGCGGAACCACGCCCATGATTGTAGAAGCAGGAGACACCCACCGATAGCAGTTTTCTTATAATTCGTCGCCCGACACATTTCTCTAAAGAGAAATGCCAAAACTGCAGCGCCCCAACTATATCTTCCAACTTCATCAAAATCGATCAGATGCCGCAACCACATACAATGCACCTGGTTGCGAGATTTGTCGGGCATCAATAATCCTCCAATTATTCGTAGAATATATGCCTCCTTTGCTTGATCCTCTGAAGCATTTTCATTTAAAACCTCAAAATTAGCTTTCAACCAAGATAAAGCTATTCTACCTCCATTAAACTCTGGCGGAGCAGCTCCAAGATAATCAATGCACATTGACTGCCAATCACCATCCGCCATACCACACATCATATTTCCGTCGACAGGAAGCCCCAGATGCATAGAGACATCCTCCAATGTAATTGTGGCCTCTCCACATGGAAGGTGAAAAGTGTGTGTCTCGGGCCTCCACCTCTCAATCAGTGCAGAAATTAGGACAGGTTTGAGTTTGCAACCGCCAATAATTGTTGCAATATACCCGAACCCATCAGAAGCCAAATATGGCAAAATAGGTTCCGGTGTCGGTATACGTAGATTTTTAATAAAAGTCTCTAAAATACGATCAGTATCCGAAATAATATACATTATAAAAAATTAAAATTAATATAAATTCATAATAACTTTAAATTAAAAATAAATTTAAATATTAACATTAATTATAAAAAATATTACCATATCGCTAAAATGTCTGGAGATATGATCAACATCCAATCGCAGCAGCATTTCGTTTTCCATTATAACTGTAGACAAAACAATATAATTAGCACCAAAAAATAATTAATAATTCTAAATAAATAATAATTATATAAATATTATTTTAATAAAAAAAATAATATTTATATAAATATATTAATATAAAATATAATAACTATTTAAAAAATACTAACATAAAAATAAATTTATTACCACTAATAAAATATTTAAAACTCAAATAGTTTGAGAATTTGAGTTATATAAGAGAGGAGAATATGATTTTGGTGTGAAGAATGAGGGAGGGTTGAGGGGGTTTATATAGGGGAGGAGGAGGGGTAGTTAGGGGAAAACGGATGGGGGCATTTATGGTATTTAATGGAAGGTGCGTCCCCGGGGATGCGCCTTCCACACGTGGCAGCCGAGTCATCAGAATCCCGTGAAGGCGCGTCCCCGGGGATGCGCCTTCCACACATGGCATCCAACTCAGCGAAAACCCGGGTAAAGCGCGTCCCCGGGGATGCGCCTTTTGCCAGCTCAGCCGAAAGGGTACCACTTCGGGAAATATATATCAAACGGTGCTAAAAAGGTAAATATTCGATTAAACAATGTCAGTTTGGTCAAATCGCCTGTTTACAAACCGTGACGTCACTCCACTTTTACAGTTGTCATTTTCTCTCCACTCTGCAATAAAATCTTGGTTCAACTATACGTTTAATATTTAAATTATTATTTTATTTCATTTTAATACCTATATTTTTCTCTCTCTAAATTATATTTAATATTTAGTTTAAATTTTAATTTGATATCCAATCGTTAAAAAATTAACAGAACTACTGACGTTATATTTTTTAATAGTGATATACATTACTTTATGATAACACATTATCATTATCATTAAGTTTTTATGGTAGGGGTACAAAAATGAAACCTAAATAAAATATTAGAAATAATTTTGAAACAAAATACAGTTTATGTACCAAAATAGAACAAAAGTAATAATTTAAATACTAAAAGTATAATTTGCCCTTAAAAACATGTACTGTTATATTAAGAAAATTGTAGTTAAGTCACTTTATTATAGAAAAATATAATTTGTTTTACCGAATTAAAGTTATATGATGATAGGAAAAATTAATGTATAATCAATAAAAAATTAATAATAACAAGTTTATATATTATTTTAATTCTGTCATAATTTAAAAAAATTAATTATCAACATTTAAATATTAGGGTAAACTACACATTTAGTATTCCAAGTATCATTTTTATTTGGTTTTGATCGCCCAACTACTTTTTATTTTAAGATCGTATATAACATCTAATTTTTGTTTTATTTTGTTTGCCTCCATTAAAAACTTAACAATGATACTAACATATCATCATAAGATAATGTTATGTCATAATTGAAAAAATAAAAAATATCATGTCAAACAGTTCTGTTGATTTTTTAACTATGAGTAACCAAAATGAAACTAAAACTAAACATTATGATTTTAAAATAATTAAGTGACTAAAAAAGAACAAAAGTAAAAGTTGTGGTACAAAATATTTAATTTACCTTAAATATTATACAAATTTAATCTTACTAACATTTTTTACTAGATAGTTCTATTGTGTGGTAACCTAATTTATGGCATTTTTAAAACTAAAATGTTATAATGTTTAGTCTAAAAAGTTATACAAATATATAACATTTTAGTTGCAACCGAAAAATTACATTGTAGATATTTTTAGATTTATAACCGAAAATATTATATAAATTTATAATATTTTTTTTAAAATAAAAATATTATAAAAAACGTAACATTTTTAATTTTGACCTATTCTCAATAAAAAAAATTTATTGTAACCGATTTTTATCATTTTTTTATCATATATTATCTGATTGTATTTTAGAATTTCGTTTTTTACTTCTAGCCTCCATCTACAACAATGGCTTCCGACACCATTACTATTCACCATGTGAATTGACCCCTCAACTCCCATATTTTGTGACTCTCGTTTAATTCCACAGCCAATGTCCCATCACACCAATAAATTCAACCAAAACCACATATGCATTTCTACTGTTGATTCCTTGACACCCATACATCTATATAAATACACACATTTGGTCTTTTGAGTACACAAATTATAACTCAAAAACACCCTTCTTTTAATCAAACCTACTTAATATGGCCAGTTCCGGATTTCTAAAGTCGGCTTTCGTGATGCTCATCGTGTGCATGGCGGTGATGAGTGCAGTCGAAGCAGCGGTGACGTGCAGTAACGTCGTGAGACACTTGCTCCCGTGCGTTTCCTACGTACAAAACGGCGGTCAACCGGCTGCTCAATGCTGCAACGGGGTGAAAACACTTCTCGCTCAGGCTCAAACCAAGACGGACCGTCAAAACGTTTGCAGGTGCACTAAATCGGCCATTAAGGGAATCCCGACCACGAGGTTCAACCTCGCTAACGCGGCCAGCCTCCCCGACAAATGTAATCTTCATGTTCCTTACAAGATCAGCCCCTCCACTGACTGCAACAAGTAATCAAATTCATATTACTATCACCTTTTTGCATCTTATTTACACGCGTACAAAAAAGAGAGAGAGAGAGAGAGAGAGAGAGAGAAAGAACAGCAGTCTAAATTGAAATTACAGTACTGATTTGTGTTTATGGCTGTTGCAGGGTGCCATGAGGCTGATCTTGATCACGGTGGATGAACGAGGACCACGTAGTTTTTAAAAGCTTAGCCGAATAAAGTAGCTAGCTAGAGTTAATAAATGGGTAAACTACAAGTTTAGTATCTAAATTATTACTTTTATTCCGTTTTGATATCCAAACTTTTTTTTTTCAAAATTATGCCTAATATTTAGTTTAGGTTTTAATTTGGTATCCGTCGTTAAAAAAACTGTTGACATGATTGATATATATATAAGTATGTACGTTATTTTTTCAATGATGATGTGGTATTATCTTATGGTGACATATTAATATCATCGTTAAGTTTTTAATGACAGGATACCAAAATTAAATATAAACTAAACGTTAAGTATGATTTTGAATAAAATAAAATTTGAGTATCAAAATATACAAAAATAATAGTTTAAGTACTAAATGTGTAGTTTACCTTTACTATGTTGGTGTTGTTTTTTAGTGGTTTCATATATTAATTGGAAAAGGAATAGTTTCAATATACTTTGTCAACAGTGTATTTATATGTAATATATAGTAATCTTTAAGTTTAATGATTCTAGAAACCTTCGATTTTCGTTTAAAAAATAATAATTCAGTCTTTTCTCATTCAATTAAAATTTAAAGTTTAAAATTCGAATTAATTAAGTATTTTGATTACTTTTAACCTTAATTTTATCTAAAAAAATTATGGATCTATCACTATCATATGACATACTATAATTTTATCATATTTTTTAAAATTTATTTTAAAATTTATATAAATTAAATTTGATAGAATTTAAATTAAATTTTATTCTAATTTGATGATTAATTATTTAAATATTTTTGTCAAATGTCTCATATCCGAATCTGAATAAAATAAAAATAATTTATTTTGTGATGATAGTTTCATATAACTTAAATATATAATTTTGAGAAGCAAGCATCCATGAGTGCCTAATTCTCTATTTGAATATTCAAAAGTTTGGCGATTAGATTAGAAAGGGGGATAGTTTAAGGATGAAATTGAAATATTAAAAAATTTAAGGATTAATTTAAAACAAGAAGTATATTTTGATGATATATGATACAATTAACTCTAAAAATTTACCATGTCAACAATCTTGTTAAGTTTTTAACGGGTGACCAAAATAGAATAAAATAATAATTAAGTGACTAAACATGAAGTTTATCCTAAAATCAAATTGAAGTACCAAAGTATATATATTAGCCTTATTTAATCAGTTTTTAAAGTACACTAATTTAATCATTTTAAAGTTATGGTTTCTTCTACTCCATTAAATATTAAATTTATTTCTTTTAGTATAGAATTTGGCCAATCCAACCTCACTGATGAAGTGTAATAACTAATCACTGAAAAGAAAGCTTAAGTGGGTCCATGTGGAGCCCGCAATTTTTATTATTTATTATTCTGAGTTAATTGTACATATGGTCTCTAAACTATGACTTAAATTTTAAATTCATCCATAAATTTAAAACATTTTATATCAGTCAAAAACTATGGCTCTCATTCTAAATTGGTCATTAACCTTTAAAATGTTCTATATCAGTCATCAAATTTTCAAATCATTATATCTTGGTCCTTTCGTTAATGCATCGTTTACTCTATTAGTTTTTTTAAGTATTTAGAATTGAACTCATGACCGTATACAAATTAATTTCTTTATGAAAGTCATAGATTTTTTTTAGAAGGTCATTAGTTCAATTTTTAGGATCTTTAAAAATATATTAGTATTAACCAATAAATCATGTTAATAAAATTATAGAGAATTTAAGAATTAATATAAAATATTTAAATTTGAAGAATTAATTTAAAACATGAGTCATAATATAAGGACATCATGTCCAATGATCTATTTATTATTTTCTACACCATTGCATAAAATCACCCACAGTAAAGGTTAAAATTGATGTTTATTGAATTCATCAGTGTTAAAAGAAAATATTATTTATTATAGACACTCTAGTTTTAAGTAGTTGCGTCTGCAGGGTGTATATATTATCAATTGATTAAAAAAATTTATAAATAAATATTATCTTATAATCACCTCATTCTATTAAAAAAATTGATGTTTGTTGAGATATAGCAGTCTCAACAAAGCTTTTGAAAAACAACAGATCGTGATCGTCCATCTTTCAAACCTATACTCAATCCGACGATCACCATCCATTCTCAAATCCCTTTCGTGATAGCTCACTCTGTTTGACCACACCAAAAAAAAAACACATGCTTCTTTTTATTTATTTATTTTTATTTAAGAAAAATCTAATTTTCCAAAGTTGACTGCCATGTCGTCACTTCTATTTAGATTTGAGGCGCTCTTCGTTGAAAATCGACTTTCACTCTTAATTTACCCTTTTACCCCCATCATCTTTTAATATTGGATAAAAACTATATGACTATTTAATTATGGAAGATTATAATTAACTATCGATCTTCTAATTTTATCAGTAAAATAATTTAATTATTTAAATAATTTCAATCAAGTCATTAAATATTAACATTTAACAGAGAGAGAGAGTGATGTATAAATAAAATTTTGATGTAATTATACATTTGGTTCTTTTTATTTATACATTTTATCAATTTAGTTTTAGTTTTAATTTAATGAAACGTGACACCATCTGATTATAGAATTAAATTTATTAAATTCAATTAATAGAATGCATAAATAACATGAATCATATATGTAATTATACTAATTTTTTAACTACCATGTCACCCTCCCAGTTTAATGTTAATTATTGGTGATTTAGTTAATATAATTTAAACAGTTATGTGATCTGATTAACGAAAATAAAAAAATGGTCAAACTAAAATTCCTCATAATTAAGTGATCATTAGTATAATTTACCTTTTTAGTATTTTCATTTATGTATTCCTTTATTTTATTGTAAAGTTTAGAAGATTGTGATTATTCATCTAAATAATATTATTTTTACGGTTCGAACATATATTTTCTTATTGGAATTGACTTACCACGACATCCAAATGTCTAATAATTGATTGAGAAAAAGAGATGTAATAGTACATAAAAATGGAGGCCTAAGTTGAAGAAAATGAGAAATACATTTCCGATATGTAAAGAGATTTAATAAATAGTAAGTTATAAGATAAATTACATATTTAATACTTAAACTATTATTTTTATTATATTTTAATATCTAAATTTTAATTTTTCTCGAAATCATACCTAACATTTAGTTTTAAGTTTTATTTTGATATCCCGTCACTAAAACTTAACAGTGATATTGATGTATCACCATAAGTTAATACTAAATCATCATTGAAAAAATAAAAAAATGACCACATCATAATTCTGTTAATTTTTTAACAAAAAATACCAAATTAAAACTTAAACTAAATATTAGATATTATTTAAAAAATAAATTTAAATATTAAAATAGAATAAAAGTAATTATTTAGATACTAAAGCGGGAAAAAATAAAGTTTTAATTTAGAGTTTCGCCTGGTCTGGTTTGGTTGAGTTTGACCGGTACTAATTCCACCTTTCACTGAAAAAAAAAGAAAGAAAAATTCACACTTTAAACACAGCTTTCCCATTGTTTTTTCTGACTTGCAAAGGTGTGTTTTTTCTCCCATCGATCAACAACAAAACCCAAACATGATTCCTGGGTTTTCGTCTTTCTCCGTTTGGCCTTCTCATGTTTTGCTTGTTTGACCTGCTTTGGTAAGGTTAGATTCTTAACCCTCTTTTTATATATGTATTTTGTTACTGCTGGAATTATTAATGATTCCAGGGTTGAGCTTACCTGAAAATTGTGTTTTCTCTCTCTCCTGATATGGGGTTGAATGTGTGCTCTCTGCTTTATATTAATCATGCTTAGCTGATTGTGTGAATGTGGAATTGAGTGGAACTTGTGTTGTTTTTCTTACTTTTGGATTATTTTGGATCTGGGTTTAGTTTATGTTTTTACCCAGATGCTGGTTTTGGCATTTGCTATTGTTGTTAATTACAGAGATTTATGTTGCCCAGTTATAAATTGCTTCTCAATATATCCACTGAATTATTTTAGAGCTTTATGGAGTTCTCAACCTTGACAAATTGGAGATGTAATATGTTGTACTTAGTCCCTGTAGTTTCCTTTGTTCGAGCAAGGTGTTACTAGTCGCGCTCTATGCCGTTGCCAGTGAATCTATGCAGTTATTGCATTGAAAGATATGTGGTTTGCTTTGATGTGACTATAATTAAAATGTGATGCAATCTTTGTTATGTGTCCTTAGATATGGTGAGTACGAGTAGTTCATCTGATTAATATGATAAGACGATTAGTCCAATCCCTGTTTGTTCTAATCTTAGCCTGTTTGTAAATAGATATCATTTGCCTGTAGATTGGAATGGTTTGCGTTCTCTCCAATTAAAAATGTTGTAATGATTTGCATGCTTTCGTATTTTCCTTCCTGCAGAAACATACACAACTTAAACATAGTTTCTAGAATTAGCATATGAGATGGGTTGTTTTACAGTTTTGAAAAGTAAGAAGAAAAAGTCTGAGCAGTTCGGTTTTCATGAAACCTATTGCTTGTAAGGAGCATATGCCGACCACTCTTCCTGAACCCAAAGTTCAAACCTGATGGCTGCTCTCTGCGCCCCCGAGTTAAAACCAGAGTAAAACCTATTCAAGCTAACAACAAGGCAACCAGCAACAGGGCACGTACATTATCTGCTCCGTCAAGTCTCGATGCTGCTGAGCAAGTTGCTCTTGCATCAGTTGAATTTGAAGAACGGGAAGAGTTAAAGAGTTTTGCTGGAGTAGCAACGGAACTGCGGTCATCAAGTCCACAAGGACCGCAACCGCTGCCACTTCCATCTCCGCACAGTACTGCACTGAAGTCAATGGGAAGCTTTAAAGAAGGGAATGCTAGTGGCCCTCTGTTTGCTTCTGGACCATTTGCCCCTGCCTGCCTCCAGAACACTACGGATCTTCTCTTACGAAGAACTTTCAGCTGCTTTCCATCATCTCTTCTGATCGATGCACGTCTGAGGGTCTTTCTTCTGTTACGTATATGGCTTCTTTTGGAGATGATGCATCAAGCTCAAAGAAGGTTGAAGCCACTGTTACTCGCCTTCACCCATCCACTCAGGTACAAGAAAAATCTACTAATGGAACTTTCTGGTTTATGGCACACTTTCTATTTGCATACCTTTCCCTTTTTTTTCAACACTATTCTGCTTATTGTCTTATGGCTCCCAATTTAAAAGAAGGAAGTTGGTAATTTATATTAGTTTTCATAATTTTTATGATCTTCCAATGTCCATTTATTACATGCGAGACATTTGTGTTGTTGCTGCCTTGCCGGCCCTTTATATTATATTTTTCTGTACATGCAATTTTAATTCTTTTGCTATTGTAATCTGGTTTACAGACCTGCCTCTGATAAATACAACATTTTATTTTACCTACTCTCTCATATGTCTGCCAATGATTGAAATCGAGATTATTGCTACCGGAAAAGTGTTAAAAATGAATCTCAGTAAGTGTGAATATTGTGCTTGTTATGCTGCAAAAATAAATGGTTACTTTTATTCCAGTCTAACATTTTTCTTTCTCGTTTTGTTATGTAGGGTTTAAGGGATTTTATAAACGAAGTAAATACTCTCGCATTGTTGCAGCATCCGAACCTCTGTTAAATACTCTCGCATTGTTGCAGCATCCGAACCTCTGTAAATTGCTTGGATTCCATGCACATGATAGTTCAGAACAAAGAATGTTGGTCTATGAGAGGCTGTTTCATGGAAGCTTAGACAGGCTTCTGTATGGGAGATCAGACGGACCACCACTTGATTGGAACACCCGAATGAAGATTGCTTTATGTTCCGCGCAGGGTCTCACTTTCTTGCACGAGGAAGGACCATTTCAGGTAGTTTCGAAATCTCCGTGTGATCTAAATCTCGGGAAACTAAATGATATTGTATCATGTGCCCCTATGGTTGAACTTTGATCATGCGCAATCGGGGATGGTAATTCTTTTAGAAATAAGTTCTGGCATGCTTGATTTACTCCTTTTGGGATCTTATGGAACAATTTTTCAATTCTTGCTAGATTAGTTTGTGTATCAGTAACTTTTGGAAATTTGCTTTTGTTTTACCGATTAGTGTTCCACTCTTATCGCGTGGTTGACAGAAATTTAACGGAAACTTCCATTATGTGCAGGCAATGTACAGTGAATTTTCAACTGCCAATATACAGATTGACAAAGATTTCAGTGCAAAGCTTTCAGGATACGGATGTGTTGGTCATATCCTGCAGACGGAAGAGATCTCTGCTAACACACTTGTAAGTCATTTTACCTCGTAATCGATCATTTAAAGACAAATCACGTGTGATGAGCTGACGAGATTTTCATCGATCTCTCTGACTCCATAAAGGATACTTGTGTGAGTTATTTGTTGTTGATTCTCTCCATTGGTGCAGGCTGTGGCAAATCTGTCAGTAGAGACACTGGAGAGAGGATGGCTAACTCCAAAAAGCAATGTTTGGAGTTTCGGAATTGTCCTACTCGAATTACATACCGGCCGGAAGAATTTTGACAGCCGTCATCCGAGGGAAGAGAGGAACCCAGTGAAGTGGAGTCGACCATTCCTGGCCGACGATTGTAGATTATCACTCATAATGGATCCTCTCGCTTTCCTATGAAAGCTGCACTCACAGTGGCCAACATTGTACAAAGATATATCCAAAAGGACCCATCGGAGAGGCCTACCATGAGAACCATAGTCGAGAATCTCAAAATTGTCCAAGACATGAAATATTACTGTTGGTTCCCGCTGCAAGATCCAATGGCAATTGCCGGAAAACATATGTCAAGGTGGTCTAGCTTTAATGGGATCGTTACTCCTACTACCGCACCGAAATTCTGTTTCTCCCAGTCGCCACCATCTGGACCCTGGTTCTCTGTTTCTCCTACAAGAACAGCTGCTTTGCCATTGACTCTTCTACAGCGACCTTGTTCCTCTACCCTACATTAGAGGAACTCGAAAGGCAAGAAAGTTGGAGATCGTCATCGGAAACCCTTAAAAGGGCTAGTTTGGAAGGATTTTGATTGTTTATTATAATATTTTTTCTACACTTACATATAGAAAAAAAGATGTGGTTCTTCCACCAGTCCCTCTATGTCTAGATAATGAAATAGAGGATGCTGTTTTTGTAGATAAGAGTACAAGCTTGATGTGAAAAATGGATACATACATACATACATGCATACATCAAAGTATTTTTATTTTTATTTTTCCTTAATAGTTTAGATTAGAGAACCAACATAACGTCCCACAGCCACCGGAGATAAGTATATGCATAGTAACAGACTGAAAATATTTCACACCTTACAACGACAACACAATTAAACATAATGATAAAAGGCAGCCTAGAGTGGTGCCTCTGATGCTTTACTGTTCACCGCTGTTTCTTCCACCATTGAGCACCATATCTTGGGAGCCATCTGCCTCTGCATCAAATTCTTCATCATCTATAGAAAAAACAAATGATTCTAAACCCTTTAATCTACGGGGAAATAAACAGGAGCAATATCTGATATCTGAGCACAGCAACCATCTTACCAGGATTATGCACTTGAAATTGGCATATACAGCGGCTCCAGCGACCGGCCAGTAGTTTGTATATCTGGTAAAGCTGCTCATCATAATCGGATATAATGAGAAAAGGGCGTAGCATATGCTAACAATGCAATAAAATGGTGACCACGAGAGGAAAATGCTCGTAAATCGAGCATGCATGCATGCATGCATGCAGTAGATGATTACCTTCACTTAAACAAAATGATCGCTTTGCTCTCTCTTGAAAACCTCCACAAATTGCCTTGAGAACAGCTCCTTTCTCCAACTTCCCTGAATCCATCAGAAAAAGGCATGGGTTATGTTTACATTAAGTAATTCATGGAACCGTATCGCCGCCGCTGCCTGTGGTAAATTCGTATTTGAACCTCTGTACTGTCTGTTGTTTATCAGAAGAGTTGGCATTATAGTTATTTCTCCATGGGAGCCTTTGCGTATCTGAAACCAAAATTACAGCATAATTCAGAGTGTTAGGCTCTCAATGCCAAAATACAACAAAGATGGCTAGTAAAGTTTAAGATGTAACATGACCCGTGCTTCTCGTTCTGCTTCAAGAACAGGGTTCTCCACATCAGCCTCAGTGTCTCCCATGCAACTGTCGATTTTTTCGGGATCGATACCAGTAAGAGATCGGATAACTTTATCTGAACATTCTTTGGTATACTTCTCTTCCGATCGGCAGTGATTCGCAAACTCCGTAATGTAATCCCACCAAAGCCATGGCTTTCCACTTTCATTAGCAACTTTGAACAGGCAAGCTTGGCGAAGATTCTGAATCATCACGTCTTTACCGTTGTATCCTGGGCCGAGACCCGGGGCACAGTACCTACCGTGATTGATACATTGTGACCTACATCGTTTTCTCAAAACAAAAGCGTCGGGGCAATACCAAGTCATGTAGTGGGGGGTGAAACGAATGTACCCTTTCTGCTCGAGTATTCGAGCAGCTCCTTTGAAGTTCTTGATGAATTCGAGCTGGCTGTCGCACTTTGGACCGCAATCGTAGTTGCTATTCATCCAAAACTCATAGTCGATTCGATCAATGGGATGTAGGAGGGACTCCTCCCTCCAGTCAAGTTTTACGTCCACGATGTCCCCATTATTAAGTGCCTCTTTGATGCGGTCGCCTAGTGATTTACTAATGAAGACTGATGGAATGGTGATATCCTGCTCGTATTCCCCGTGAGCTTGCCCGTCTTCAGGGGTAGCCATGGTAATCAAGGGCTCGTTTATGTCATCGGCGATAAGAATAGCAGCAGCTCCAGCTCGCTGAGCAAACCATGCCTTCAAGGCGAAGAAGCAATCTGCCACAACATTTCGTATTCTGATTATTCGAGTTATTCGTTCATGTGATTTTGAGTTAAAAAAATACCTCCACGATCAACAAGGACAACAACGGGGAGTCTTGCATGCCTTGATTCGAATGAGATGTGGAATTCATCGAAGGTCTTGCATCCGCGTTTGTTTGGTCTAGGATAAACAACCGTTCCGATCAAGGTTCCACCATGCCGATGAACCCCGAAATTTCCGATCACGGAATCGAAATCTCCATTGATCGACCATAACGATGTCACTTTCAAGCAGTTCTGCTTCACTACAAAGCTGCACAAACAAGTACCCCATAGCAAAATGCATACGCTAATTACCACTCCAAACTTTTCTCTCATCTTTGCATCACCCAAAGCGAAAAGAAAAATGCTGAAAATTGCCCAATCTTGCACTCAATATATTAACATGAAAGTTGCTCTCTAGTTGTTTTCTGGGTCTTGATCTGAAGCAATTTCCAATGGTTTTGGAACTTAGCAAGTTTAAAATTTTAATTCGGTAAATCCAATGTTTGTGCTTTGGCATATAACTATGTACTCACCTCAAATTAATAATAATAATAATAATAAAATAATTAAGTCATTTTCGCTCGACAACTTCGACAATAATTTTGTCATATAACATGCCAATTATTTTAATATATAAATTTAAAAAATTTCGAATTATATTATGATTAAGGTATATTTTATATATTAAATTATGACACGATTTATGAATTATTCTGTATTTTATGATCTCTTATTTTTAAATTGTTAAAAGTAAGATTTGTTCTTGTCCCAAAAATAATAAATCAAATTCGTAAAATACAAAAAATATTGAAGATAATTTTTATTATTATACCAATTTAAAAATCATATCGTCATTCTTGGTTAGCTATTTAGTGGAAAGTGACTAAAATAACAATAATTTATAACATTAGCGAGTAAATTAAAATTTATTTTAATTTTGTGACTAAAAGAAAAATAACACGATAGTTGGATGACTATAAATTGAGTTTACCCTAAAAACACAGCTTAAAATAAAACAGATATAAAAGGGCCTACAAAGGAGGCCCATAAATAAGCCCAAGTACCCAACTAAAGGAAACGAAAGCAGCATGACTTGACTATGATTTATGAATATACGATCAATAAACCACGCATCACAGACCGTCCATTTCCCTTCTGATCAAAGATCAACGATCAATGATCAATAACAATAATAACCGTTTCATCTGGGTGGTACTTCTGTTATTTGCCTATTTCCAAAATCATTCCTTCCCTATCCGTATATTTGCAATTCGGTCCAAAACAAAATCTCCTTTTCCATCCCCCCCCCCTCTCGTCAAAAACATCCCTCACCAAAAAATATAGTGAAGGAGAGGAATTCCACCAGATCTCCTTTTATACTTTTAGGTTAATCATATGGAGAAGGAGCTGCTGCATTTGTTCGACGCCGCCAAGAAAGCGGCCGATGTGGCCACCTCCGACGCCGTTTCCTCCAACTCCTCCGAGGTTTCCAGATGCGTCGACGCCTTGAACCGGCTCAAGGATTTCCCCGTCAGTTACGATACCCTTGTTTCTTCTCAGGTTCGTTTTCTCTCTTTCCTCCTCCCGTTACGATGAATTTTTAATATCATATATATAGATTCTTAATTCGTCTGTGTCAAATTTCTTGAGTGCGATTAGGAGGAAAATTTTATTCCTTTTAAGAATTGTTTTGTTATTCGTTTGGTTGAGAGACGAACCTTTTTTCCCTTTAAATTGAAGCGAAGAATGTATATAATATTAATAGATGGACAGATATATCGATAAATAAGATTATTAATTATTAATTCTTTATAGTAGCACTGGAGTTCATAAACTTCATTGAAATTGATTAATTGATTGGCATGTGTTGAAGTATAAATAATCTGTATTAGGTGAAGTAAAGATTGCCTGAATATTTTTGGTTTTGCAAATACAATTTGGAGTCTGATAATGCTTCCTTTTAGGTTCTTAGGACAGTTAAATTTGCAGTGAATCTAGTGATAGATATAGGAATGCTTAAATGTATTAGGTTTTTTGCCAAAGGCTCCCCTGTTATAATATGAACTTCGACTACTAACCATAAGGAACAATAGAGAATTGGATAATAGAAAGCTAGGAGAAATAGAGTGTAAGAAAATGTATATTATATCATATACCTTCCTCATTTACCCTATCCCTAATTTTATTATTTGGTTGGTGGGTAATAACCATCCATCACATTTTGTTGTTTCATCAATTTGGACTTTTCTAATAAAAAAATTAACGAGCTGCTCGTGAACTTATCTAGTCAAGTTGGACTTTTTCGATTCAACTCGTTAAGATCTCGAGTCGAGTCAACCCGAGTCGAGCTTTGACCGAGTAGATTTCGAGCTGCTCAACTCATTAAGCACCTCTAGTTGGGCGTACCCGAGTCATTATCATCTGCCGACGCATCATGCATATTGGTGAATACATTAAAAAACAAAGAACTGAATTCACATATATGTTACAGGTTGGAAAAAAGCTGCGGCTTCTCACGAAGCATCCTAGAGAGAAAATCAAGACTGTGGCTTCTGACTTGCTTGAGTTGTGGAAGAAAATTGTTATTGAGGAGACTACCAATAAGAAAAACGGCACCACTAGTGCTGTCAAGGTAGAGAAGCTTCCAAAGCCAAGTGCTGTCAAGTCTGAAAAGCGCTCCAGTACAGAATCTGTGAAGGTTGAGAAGTCTAAAAGTGATTCTGTAAACTCCGTCAGAGTTGAGAAAAAGGTGGCGAATGGAGATACTGCAATATCTGAGAAGACAGATCTAGGTAAGGTTGAAACAATTTATAAGGATGAGAGACAAGCGTCGAATGTCAAGAAACCATATCAGGCTCTTGCTGGTCCTCCAAAGTTGACATCATTGGTCAAATGTAATGATCCTTTGCGTGACAAGTTCCGGGAGATTCTTGTAGAGGCCTTGTCTAAAGTTGCCAGCGAGGCCGATCAGGACATCTTGGATCAAGTGAATGCTGCTGACCCTATCCGGGTTGCTGTATCTGTTGAATCTGTGATGTTTGAGAAGATGGGTAAATCAAATGGTGCCCAAAAGTTTAAGTACAGATCTATAATGTTCAACATTAAGGATCCAAAGAATCCAGATTTGAGGAGGAAGGTTCTTCTGGGCGAAGTGAAGCCAGAAAGACTCATTACCATGACCCCAGAGGAAATGGCCAGTGACGAGAGGCAACGTGAAAATAAAGAAATTAAAGATAAGGCTTTATTTGATTGTGAGCGTGGTGGTGCACTTAAGGCCACGACAGATCAATTCAAGTGCGGGCGATGTGGTCAACGCAAGACCACATACTATCAAATGCAGACCAGGAGTGCAGATGAACCTATGACAACCTATGTAACATGCGTAAACTGCAACAATCATTGGAAATTCTGTTAGTGGAACCCAAAGATCCCGTCATTCATGCAGTGAAGGTGTAAGGTTGATCATCTCCGAAGCTTCATTCTGTTTATCTTTGTTTGTGGATTGAGTTTTAAATAATAGTTTACATAAATGCATATTTATCTGCACTGCAATAGGTCCTTTCTTAGGGATAACTAGGTGTTTGAGGGATGATTGTGCCAAAAGCATAACTCAGCTTGTTTCAAATCTTAGGTACTTCCATATCTCTCCCATTCTTCCAGCAACAGTGGCTTGTCTTTCAGATGTATCATTCCAAAGGGTAGGGAGGATGGTAGTGGTAGAATTAGACCTTCTTGATTTCTTAATGTACCAATTAACACTGCTATGAACCCATGCTTTGATTTTTCTAGCGGTTATTATTTTTGTTTCATCTCCACGGTTTCTCCTTTACATCATCTGTGATTTTCTTAGTTAAGGATTGTGTTCTTGTTAAGATACTGCCTCCGAATTCGTTCGATCTGCAAATTACAATGTTAAAAATCAAATGACCAATTAGCTCAGTTTATTAGAGTGTCGTGCTAATAACACAAATGTCATAGGTTCGTTAAAAATCAAATGACCAATTAGCTCACTTTACTAGAGTGTCGTGCTAATAACACAAAGGTCATAGGTTCGTTAAAAATCAAATGACCAATTAGCTCACTTTACTAGAGTGTCGTGCTAATAACACAAAGGCCATAGGTTCGAGACGTGCATCGAGCCTCTGTACCTATATATTTGGGTTTTGAAGTTGAGTTGAAGTTTTTTTAACTTTCTTTTGCAATGCAATTCCAACACATCATTTTATTGTTATGTCAATAAAATAATATCATTTTTCATTGAAGAAATGTGTGGAACATAAACTTTATATGTCAGCGTTGCAAAAAAATGTAACAATTAATTAATATTTATGCTTTTTTGTACGAATTAATTAATATTTACGTTGAAAACAGATAAATTTAATTTTAAAAAATTAAGTATTAAATTTAAAAAAGGAGTAAAGTGAAATTAATAAAAATTATAAAATTTAAAGATTAAAGATTAATTTTATGATGATAAATAATTCCCGGATGCAAGTTGACTACCCTTCCCATATGCAATATTCCATTTGGACCCAAAAATCAAAATGTACAGCCGATCACAACTAAACGCTCTATTTTTGTATTTTGGCAAAGAAAAAAACACAAAGAACGCGTTAACTAACGCAACGCGTCATCTATCTATCTGTCATCCATCATCAATTTCATATTTTTAATGTCAAATCAAAATATGCTTTCATTTGTTTTTCCTCCTCATATTTATTTACTTATAATTGTTTATATATGATAAATTTATTTATATAAAAATATTAATTTCATATAAAAATATAAATATTTAATAAATATAAATGAATGAAAAATTAAAATAAAATTGCTTATTTTTTTAAAAATTAAATAAATAATTTTATATTGAAACTAAAACTAATTATTTTTTATAAAAATTTGATATATAAAATTTAATTTTTGAATATTTATTTTTATTTCAATCATCTATTTAAATTTATATAAAAATAATATTTTACAAATGCTACTAATTGAACGTTGAATAATTGTTGTCAATTATAAAATGCAACTAACAAACGTTAATATTTTTTAATCACATTGATTAACTAAATTCAGACAGAGAGCTGAACTAAAAATCCAGAAAACTAGGAAGGGCGTTTCAGCATCTCCTTCAACCTCAAACCTCACCGCTCTCTTTCTCTCGTTTCTTTGAAGACAAATTGGTCTAAAGCCCTTTACTTTTACAAGATTGATCTTTGGATTGGATCTCTTCTAGCTAAGGAAAATTCTGGGTTTCCTTTGATTTTTTCATTTGTTATCGAAGATCCAACCTTTTCCTTCTCTGAACTCAGTTTAGACTCACTGAGTCCATGAGGAACTCTGCTGTTACTCAACCTTTTCCCGTCCCGGTCACCATTTTCGCCTCCTTGTTCCTCTTTCAACTTGTCTTAGCTGCCGACTATGTACCGACTGAGAAAATCCTCCTAAATTGCGGCGAAAAAACCGAGCTACCAGACAATGACAATCGGAAATGGACACCCGATATCGGGTCCATGTTCCTTGTCGGAACCGGGAAATCAGTCGTTTCCCGAGCCGCCACGCAAGATCCCGCGGTACCCGAAGTTCCGTACTTGACGGCCCGTGTTTTCCGTTCCAACTTCACCTACAGTTTCCCGGTGGTCGCCGGCCGGAAATTTGTAAGGCTGTATTTCTACGCTAATTCATACGACGGTCAAAATGCAACCAATGCCTTGTTTTCCGTCACCAGCGGTTCCTTTACTCTGCTCAAGAATTTCAGCGCCGCTCAAACCAGTGAAGCTTTGAATTATGCTTTCATTATCAAAGAGTACTCCATTAATGTAGATGGTGAGCTTTTGAACTTGACATTTAGTCCCTCTCCAAATGCGTATGCATTTGTGAATGGGATCGAGGTATTGTCTATGCCTGATATTTACAGTAATCTCGACGGGGTTCCGGTCGTCGGTCAACAAGCTCCGTTCACCATTGATAACAGTACAGCTCTGGAGAACGTTTATCGGCTGAATGTCGGTGGGAGCGATATCTCGCCGTCTGGTGATACCGGCCTTTTCCGGTCATGGTATGATGATCAGCCATACCTTTTTGGTGCAGGCTTTGGTGTTTCAGCATCTGCTGATCCGAATGTCACTGTTGATTACGGGACAATGCCGACGTATATCGCTCCGACGAATGTTTACACCACGGCTAGATCGATGGGGCAGGATGCTGGAATCAACCAGAACTACAATTTGACATGGTTATTCAACATTGACACTGGATTCTCTTACTTGGTGAGGTTACATTTCTGTGAATTTACTGATAACATCACTAAGATTAACCAGAGAGTGTTTGATGTGTTCCTCAATAATCAAACTGCCGAGCAAGGGGTCGATGTGATTGGCATGGCGGAACAAGTTGATGTTCCGATGTATAAAGATTACGTCGTGGTTGTTCCGGGAAGCAACTCTCAACAGGATCTTTGGCTCGCATTGCTCCCGGACAAGACTAACAAGCCTCAGATTTATGACGCAATCTTAAATGGTGTGGAGATATTCAAGATAAATGATCCGAACAACAACCTTGCTGGGCCTAATCCGACCCCTGGTCTGGAACAGGAAGCAGTTGATCCATCATTGGCTCTGCCATCTATTACAGGTCATTCGAAGAACCGGACGGGGATCATTGCCGGGGGAGTCGGTGGCGGAGTGGTCATGTTGCTTGTAATCGGTCTGTGTGTTTTTGTTGCCTTACGTCGCCGTAGGCATGGGAATGACACAAGCACGAATGATGGTCCTTCGGGATGGCTTCCTCTTTCGTTGTATGGAAATTCACACTCTGCAGGTTCGGCAAAGACAACTACCACGGGGAGTATTGCTTCCTCCCTGCCTTCGAACCTTTGTCGTCACTTCTCGTTCGCCGAGATCAAGGCTGCCACAAACAACTTTGATGATGCTTTGCTCCTTGGCTTGGGAGGTTTTGGCAAAGTTTACAAGGGTGAAATTGATGGTGGGACGACTAAAGTCGCGATCAAACGGGGCAACCCGTTATCTGATCAAGGTTTACATGAGTTCCAGACCGAGATTGAAATGCTTTCCAAGCTCCGCCACCGCCACCTTGTTTCGTTGATCGGTTACTGTGAAGAGAAAGGCGAAATGATCCTGGTTTATGATTATATGGCTTATGGAACATTGCGTGAACATCTATACAAAACACAAAAGCCACCTCTTCCGTGGAAGCAAAGGCTCGAAATATGCATCGGGGCTGCTCGCGGTTTGCATTACCTCCACACTGGTGCCAAATACACTATTATTCACCGTGATGTCAAGACGACAAATATTCTGCTCGACGATAAGTGGGTTGCAAAAGTTTCGGATTTCGGCTTGTCGAAAACTGGCCCTACATTGGATCATACTCACGTGAGCACCGTCGTGAAGGGCAGCTTCGGCTATTTGGATCCCGAGTATTTCAGGCGACAACAACTAACCGATAAATCCGATGTTTACTCATTCGGTGTTGTCCTGTTCGAGATCCTTTGCGCTCGTCCAGTATTGAACCCCACACTGCCAAAGGAGCAAGTGAGCCTTGCAGAGTGGGCTCCTCATTGTCACAAGAAAGGCATCCTTGATCAAATCATGGACCCTTATCTGAAAGGAAAGATAGCACCGGAATGCTTCAAAAAGTTTGCCGAGACCGCAATGAAGTGCGTGGCTGATCAGGGAATCGACAGACCATCGATGGGCGACGTTCTGTGGAACTTGGAGTTCGCTTTGCAACTACAAGAGAGTGCAGAAGAAAGTGGCAAGGGAATCAGTGGAATCAACGTCGAGGAAGGGACCTACGATAACATAACATGTAAAGGCAAGAAAGACTGTAACGCATCCCCCGGTTTCGATGGTAACGTGACAGATTCTCGGAGTAGTGGAATGAGTATGAGTATGAGTATGAGCATCGGCGGTCAAAGCCTTGCTAGTACAGACTCCGACGGGTTAACACCCAGTGCTGTTTTCTCACAGATCATGAACCCTAAAGGGCGTTAAAGTGGTTGCATTAAGAACCGGCTGCCACGGATATGCTCGCAGTTGTTACTCGACATCATCGGAATCGATTTCTTTTCTTTGTTGTGTTCATTTTATCTGTTAGCATGCATTTGTTATCCCTTCACTGGATTTGTTTCAATCAAATATCAGGTGTTTCCTGAAGAGTATTTGTTGCATTTCAAGTGATAGTCCCCTGCATTTGTGTATTGACAATTCATTTCTTCATTATACATCTACTAAACAAGGTTTGCTTCCACTCTGTTGCCTACTGATCCGAATCAAATACAGTAAACACCCATTATAGAGATGATTCAATTTATTAGAATAAGAAAAAACATGAGGATAAGCTGACAGAACGTGGGACATAGAAACAGAGTGGGAGAGCTGTATGTGTGTATATGATGATTTTTGTTTGTATAAAAGAACGTCGGCTGATGACTTGTTGTACCGAACTTAATAATAATATATTGGGTTAGGTATTCCCTGAAATAAAGAGAGTGTTGGTGGGTGAGAACACCGGACTTGAAAAATTATTTTTTTATTCTATTTAATTCGAATTTATTTTTAGTTCTAATTTTATAAATTTGATTTGAAAAAATTTTAAATTCGAATCAAGTTATAAAATAGAATTTTAATTGTAACTCGAATAACTCAAAATTTTTAGTAATTAGTTGATTGATTTTTAAGTTTGAGTCGAATCTCTCTACTTTGTATGATATATTTATATCACATATAAAAAATATGAATAAATATATATGTAACGTATATAGTTATAGAAAATTGTTTAAAATAGAATCAAGTAATATCATAATGTTATAAATATTCACAATTAAATTTAAACATAAACTCGAATAATTCAACTTGATTTGACTCGACTCGAGAAAATTTCAAATCAAATTTGAGTTATAAAATATGACTCGTCAATTCAAACAATTCAAAATTTTTTGACTCAACTCAACTCAATCAAACTTTTACCCCCAAGTGTATTCGTTTAATACTTCGTTTTGGGAACTAGAAGGTCCAAGGTTTCCTTCTCTCTTTTTTTTTGGTAAACTACTTAAACTATTTTTTTTTGTTCTATTTTGGTATTCAAACTTTATTATTATTTAAAATTATACATGACATTTAGTTTATGTTTTAATTTGGTATGCCACCATTAAAAAATTAACATAATTGTTGATGTGATATTTTTTAAATTATAATGTGACATTATCTTATTGTGACACATCAATATCACTATTAAGGTTTTAACGACAGAGTATCAAAAACTTAAACTAAAAGTTAGGTACGATTTAAAAAAAATAAAGTTTAAGTACCAAAACAAAATCAAAGTAATAATTTAAATACTAAACGTGCAGTTTACGCTTTTTACAAAATAAAAACACCTAATTTTATTATGAAAGAAGAAATAACTAAAATTATAACAAGAGTTTACAATTAGATTCATAAACTAAACATATAATCAAGATGTTCTCTTATAATCATCAAAATAATAAATTAATCATTTAAGATTATATAAAATCATACAAAGAAAATATAAAAAAATTCATTCAAAAATAGTTAAATAATAAATAGATATAAATAGATCTGAATGTTATAATAAATGAACTACAATATAAATTTTTGGTGAATTATAATATATCTATACGAATAAATCTAATTGATACAAAAATGTCTACAAAGTAAAAAAAAAATAGTTGGGAATTTTATGATGTTTAATAGGAAGGGTCCACACGGATAGAGTTGTTGGGTCATGGCTGCAACATGCTGTTGCACTAAATGCGGTAAAAGGATGCGGGGATTGACGTAATATTATGTTTGTTAAAAAAATTTGTGTTCAACTCGTCATTCGTTTAGTATATTAATATTTTGTTCGACTTATGCTCGTTCAAAAAATTATTACGTGATTCGTTATTCGTTAAGATCACCATAATTTTCATCTTATTTTGTTAATTATAAATAAAATTTATTAATACTATATAAAAGTTTAATATAAACATAAGATAATAAATTTAACCAAAAAAATTATTAAAAGAGTGTACGAAATGATTTCAAAGGTTAAACTCTAAAGTAACAATCAATAAGGGGTCATTTGGTTCACGACATACAACATTATCGGGGGAATGAAATCTCATTCTCCCGTTTGGTTGGTCGATAATCTTATTTCCGGTAATCTTTTATTACCAACAGTGAATTTTTTGGGGTATATTACCGGGAATGTGATTACCCCATTTCTTTAAGTATTGTTGGATTATCGAATTTTTGGACTAAAATGCCCTTAATTTTTTTTCAAAATTATCCTTCTTCTGTCGTTGAATAATAAAAATTATACGAATGTTAAATTACAAATTTATCCTTAAACTATTTTAGATTTACAACAAAAAAATCCATAAATATAATTTTATATGAAGTTCATGGGTTAAAATAAAAGTTTACGCTTTCAATAAACCTATTTATCTTTTAAATTTTGTAAAAAAAATTATATAAATTTTATGAATTTAAATTTTATTTTTTTAAAGAAAATATATAAATTAATTATAGCAATATTATAGTAGAATTAAACTTGTTAAAAAAACAAATATATAATAAGGACAATTTGGTAAAATATACATTCCAATAATCTTTTATTCCTTTAACCAAACACTGTAATCTTACATTCCTATTAAACCAACCAAACACAAAATACAACATTCTAAGTAATCCTATTCCCTGGTAATCTTTTATTCTCACTGGTAATCTTACATTCCGTGTACCAAACGTACCTAAATACATCAAACTAGTAAATTAATAATAATTATAATTAGTATTTTACAATCTTTCTTACCATCTATTAGCTAATTAGTACTTATTATTTAGACTACCTTTTTTTTAATGAAATAATTTTTTAAGGTAACTAGTAAAATGTTATTTAAAAAATTAACGAAATGTTTACGAACTTATCGAGTCGAGTTAGACCTTGTTCGACTCAACTCGTTAAGGTCTCGAGTTAACCCGAGTCGAGTATTAACCGAATTTTATCGAGTCGAGTTCGAACAACTCACAAACTGCTCAACTCATTAAACACTCCTATTTCCACCGACAAACTCGACATGCCGGTCAGAATCGGAGTGATCGTCGGACCCCTACAAGTATCACATGTGTCATATACTGTCTTCCGACAAACTTGAACAAAGGCTGAAATGAAAATCCATGAAAGATGTGCTCAAAGCACTTACTATAGAAAAGCATGATCCCATATTGTCTAAACTGCCAGCAGCAGCAGCAATGTATCTCGAAGAAAATGAGAAGGTAACCCTCGTTAACAACAAGTCGTCATCAAAAATAATAAATTATGATATGCTATGTTGCTCAGACTCTTCGTTTTTCACGAAATATCTATATCTGACACTCGGATAAGAGGCATGATAGTAAATTGTGGTTGTGATGTTACGACATGATTTATTTCTTAAAAACTAGATCAAATCATCATATTAAATCGAAAATCGATTAATTCCGAGAATCGAATTCTGGTATAATCATGGTAAGTTTCAAGGAATGCAAGGTCATCAATAAACTGTCTCTCTAATGTCCCAAGTATAAACACCCTGACAATTTCCTTGAGGAAAACATCCCCCTGTTCACGGAACAAAATATCAGAAAGGTGAACGATGTCGTACAAAACCCATAGGTATTAGTACACGATAATCGCCATCAACCCATCACATACTTCTGGGTCCAGCGGCGTGCGGTAGCTTCGTACTTGGCCCGATCATTCTTATACATGTGAGCAATCTCCGGTACAAGCGGGCCATCAGGGTTCGGATCAATTAAAAACTAACAAATAGAAAGCAGAATCTGATTTGCACTTGAATTAGGGGCTGTTTGTTTGTCTCTTAATGGAATCATTCAGCGTTAAATGTTGAACCGTTCAGCATTCAGCGCGTTTGTTTCGCACCTCTGAATGATTCAGTGCTGACTGATTCAGCAAAACAGTGCTGAATGATTCAGCAAAACAGTGCTGAATGATTCAGAGTCAGTAAACAAACAACATGTCACATTCAGAACTAATTCATCCAAAACCTCTGAATTATTCAACATTTGAATCATTCAACACTTAATCATTCTGAAGTAAACAAACAGCCCCTTAGTATTTCTACCATGCATTCCAAACTTGAAACAAACTCTACTGATTTTGACCAAATTTACATAAAATTCCAAAAAGCAGCAGCAACAGTAGCAGAAATGGTGCAAGGCGTATCTATATTCCCAGTGAGATCATTTGAATTCGATCAAGGTCGGTCTTCGGGTCATGAATTACGATATTTATCATTCAGTTCACAAACCAGATTACCATAGTATAGTGTTCTAGACCTACCTCAGCCAGCCAAAACAGATAATGTACTAGAATTACCATAATATTAACTGGGGTATGGTCAAATCTTGGAAATGGTTAATGCAGGGCTCCATTGTTCTTTTAGGATATCAAGGCAAATGCTCCCATTTCTGTTGATGTTTGGATGGAAGGCCTAGGTCTTAAACGCGACCTAAACAAACAAAATCGGCATTATCAATTAAAAGAGTATATCACTAAAAATAAGTCTTTTCATACATGCCACAAAGGGGTACAGTATAATACCTTAGGAGGCTTGAAAGGATAGTCCGGATGAACATGAATATTAACCAAAAATACCCCTCCTGCATAAGGGCTATCGGAGGGCCCCATAATTGTTGCTTGCCAATGAAACATGTCTTCTGCTTCAGGACCTACTACAAGCAATGCAAAGCACTCATCAGTGCACATGCACATGCACATGACCATTAACATTTATATTTTTGTTAACTAAAGTAAAAGGAAGAATGCATGCTCACAAACTTGCACACCCACGGTTAGATTTAGGGACGGACGGGTGAACTTCTAAAATTTTAGAAGGTTGAACTTTTAAAATTCTAAGGACGAAAATAAATTATTAATTGAAAATATAAAGAAAATATCTAAAATATATATTAATTTTAAATTTTTAAGGAGAGCGACCGCCGCCCTACCTCCTCTTCGGTCCATCTCTGGTTAGATTCACAAGTCCTGTATGCATTAGGCATGGGTTTGGACACCACCAAAAGAAAACAATTTTTAGTTTCCCTAGTAGGTTCGCTTGTGATTCTCTGCACACTTATCGTGTGAACTACCCAAAGAGGCGCTCCAATCACCCTCTTTAGGAGTTGGGAGACAAAATCGTGAGGTTAAAACTGAGAACAAACACTCCGGGAATATAATTCCAATTGTTGGGATTTAGCCAACTGCCCTATAGACGACACTTCGCAGACTTCTCCTGGAAGAGGGTGTAAATGAATCGATACTGACAAATAAAATTATGTTCGTATTCATTTGTTTATTTTTTAAGATGTACATGTTTGATTTATGTTCGTTTAAATTTCTAGTACCATATTCATGTTCATTTATTTATTTTTGAAACTGTGTTCGTTCATTTAGCGTTCATGAACATGTTCATTTGATGTTCGCAAACATATTCGTTTAACGTTCGTTCAATGATAGGAAATCAACCCTCTTTTTAACTTTTTATTTGAAAGCAAAAATAATGTTGAAATTATGCCACTATTTCTTAAGTTCCATAGGCTTCACAGTTTGAACTTCAAAATTCAGTTTATATTCGATTTACTCTATATCTTCAACATTTAAATTATAAAAAAATAAGAGAAAAATAAGAACTGGGTAAATGAGCTCATAAACCAACCAATAAACGAGTTTGTTCGTGAATATAAACGAATTAAACACACTCTATTCGTGTTTGTTTATTTATTAAAGGAACAAAAAAAACTTCATTCGTATTCATTTATTTAGCTTAATAAACGAATGTTATCATGAATAATTTATCGAACAATTTGTTCAAGCACACCCCAGGAGTCGGAAGATCCATCAACAACAATAATTCACAAACATGGGCACACCACTTAACTATACGCAAGAATCAACGCCATCTCTATTTTCTAACCAGATGGAAAGAAACAATTTCACCATAATGGTCTAAGAACAACAGAAAAGCTTCCTGATCGCATTACAATCAAATAAGTTTCAGAAAGAAGAACCCAGATTTGGAATTTAATCGATTCATTCATAAGCTAAAACCAACGACGCAACTGGGGGAAAATGAAAGGGTAGTCTGATCACACACAACCTATAACACAGCCCATAAATCTGAGCCATAGGAAGATAACCAAACTGGAGAAAATAAAGGATCAGTGAAATTATATTGAAAAAGAGATTGTACCTGCACTGCAAGAAGTGGGTGGATCCTTCTGCAGATCCTTGAGTTCCTTCAAAATCCGCTTCGAAGCCATGACGCTTGAACAGACGAGAACACAATGAATCTACCAGGAATTCGATAAAAAAAATTAAATAAAATCACAACAACAAAAATCCCATGTCATAAATGACAATATATGGCATTAACAGCAAAAAAAAAAGCTTGAAGATAGAGAAGGAAATGTAAAAAAAATGATAAAAATTCCTGGGAGAAATTGATGGTGTTAGAGATGAGTCGAGAATAGCGGTGAAAAGAGAGAACGGAGCCCTCTCTTCTCTCTACAACCGCACCTTTTCCACCCGCAATCCCTTGATTTTGCACTTCAAAGTTCAATCGCTAAATCGCGGTGACATCTGACATGTCTCTACCACCGACGCTTCAAACTCAATGGCCTTTAGGGTAAAACACCCGTTGGCCATTTAACTATTATTGATTTTCTAATTTATTCATATAACTATTGTTTTTACAAATTTAGTCACTAATTTTACGGATAGTTATACTGTACAGCAATCTGATTAAGGTTAATTCAAGATGGTTTTCATCCTAATACATTATAATTTTTAACCTAAAATGTTATACAAATTTATAATATTATCAATTACAATCGAAGAGTTATATTGCGGAAAGTTTAGGGCTTACAACCTAAAATGTTATAAATAAGGTTATTTTGTCCAATCTGAAAAGTTACGCTATTGATAAAATTTTCTGTTATAATCAATTTCTGTCATTTTTTAACTTATATTAATAAGTTTAATTTTAGAATTTCAGTTACTTTTACAAGTTTTTATTTATTTATTTTAATTATTACCTTTCTTTATAAGAAATTGTGACATTTATATTATTACTTGTTAGTGTCAATAATCTCTAGATTATTGGGTAAAACTTATTGGGTAAAACTTCTTAGTTGATACTAAATAAAATTCTTTTTCTCTTCTCCGTAAGAATTGTTGAAACGAATATTACTACTTATTGATACGTGATTTTACTTTATTAATTAATATAGCTCAAGTGCAATCCAATGCCACATAGACTTATTTTATTTCACTTGTCACGAAGATAATTTATATATTTTTTTAATAAAAAAGATAATTTATGTAACACCTCAACCCGTATCCGACCCGGATACAAATCCGAGATGTCACATTGACTTTTTAAAATGATATTCTTACAAATTATCAAAACATTTGGACTTATATTAAAAAATACAATAATATACCGTTGAATTATGTTTCATTATAACAAATTTAAGATAAAAATGTTTTTATGAACAATGATCAACAGTATCGTGAACAGTACCAATGTTCAAAATTTTCCAGAATGCTACAGGGGTATCGATACCCTGCTACAGTGTACCGATACCCTTGCTACAGTAATTTCGGTCCACTTATATAAAACTCATAAAATTAAAACTTTCATAACTATACATTTACCATTTACATAAATACATTTAAAACCTTCCCAAAACTCGATCAGAGCACACATACTTAATTTATCGACTTTGTTTACATGCCAACCTATTTATCACATAATAAGGCATATTGTGTAATTTACTTCTGACCTGATCTTTGAGCAGAGATATGTTGTTCCTTTGAACTTAGCTTTGATCCTCCTGATTCTCAGTACCTACGTGTAAATCACTTACACGCTAAGTCATAGACATATTGAGGCATATAAATATAATAATGATGCATTCCTTATGAATATGAACATGCAATTTATCCATTCAGTCATGTCACATATAATTCAATGTAAACGATAATAACATGGTAACATATAACAATAATAATGTAATTACCTTTGATAACATTTTATAGGCCCATGTACATTACCGAGAACTCAAGGTATTAAAGTACATTGAGGTTGTGCATTATTGTTGTCACCACAGCTCGTATGGGTCCTACTAGGGGCATATGAAATTTGTCCCAAATGACCTATGATTTGTCCCGAAGGACCACGTAGAACCCTCGACTCTTGGCATGCCAACTATACCTATAGCTCTCATATCATATACCATGGGCATTATTCTTATGTTTCATATGTTCACGTACTCATGTCATTTCTCTGGTGATTACATAGATCATATCGTTTATCTCATGTCATATTCTCATATCACATATTATATCACATGTGCATTTGAATCTATTCATATATATCGCTTATCAAATCATATGAACATATATATCTTATGTATGTATCATAATAATTATCATGTATGCATGTTCATAACTATTGTACTATGAAAATTAACATAGGAATTAGACTTATTACAAATCTTATTCCATTGTACTATACTTATAGTATACACTCACCTATATCTCCTTGCCTTTCCCTCGATCCATCTTACTTGTCCCTTGTTCTGGAACTCGTTTAGGTTCGATATCTACATAAACATAAATTCCGAGACGATTATCAGAAGCTTAAACCTTATACTTCGATGCTATTAACTTAAACGAATTTAACAGGCCAATATTCACTTTTTCCTTTATGGGGTATCAATACACTCCTTAGGGTATCGATACCCTTATTGCATTATGTGATTTTTCATTCAAGAGGGTATCGGTACACATACGTAGGGTACCGATACACTCTGCCCAAAACAAGTTTTTTCACCCGAAGGTTCATCAACCCTTCACTGAATTTCCTCATATACAACTCCTTTCATGTTCTTAACTTACATATACATGCTTAAACTCATTTATATCCATTTATCTCATCTTTAACCTTAATATCATCTCCTCTTTATGAACTTCAAGAATCATACCCAATTTTTAACATGTTTTAAATCTAATTCTAATACTTCATATTCCTTAATTAGGTTGATGACAAGTCAAATCCAACTTTCAATTCTTATTATAAACTCTATTTCAAGATTTCACTCAAGAACTCCAAATCTTTAATCTTCCCTAACTCCTTTATCTTTTGATTTTAAGATAACTTAAGTTTTCCTTAAGCTTAGTTATCATCTAATGATCAAAACACAAACTTAAAATCAACAAATCAGAAAACTTACCTTTGCATGGCTCTCTCTCACGTATGAAGAAGAAGAAGAAGGAAGAGATTTCTGGAGAAATCTCTCAACCTTATCCCCATATATATCATTATCTTATCATTTCCAAGTCAAATGACTATTTTTTCCTTTAATTCTTTTAATAATTACTAATAACCCTTCAGGAATTATTTTCAAATAAGTCATCAAACTATTCAATTATTCAACTTTAATCACCAAATTCCGAAGTCTTACAATTTAGTCACTAACCCGGTATTGAGGATGTTACAAATCTCCCATCCTTTTAAGAAAATTCATCCTAGAATTTTCATTGTACATACCAATAAGAACATATATTTAATGTTCTTATGTTGCTTTCTCAACTTTATCCCTTCGCAATTTATAATCAATGATTTGCCATCAATTTCCAAAGAACCCAATCCATTTATGTTTTTTTTCTCCTTCAATTCTGCATTTTCCTTTGACCTTTCTAAAATCCATATAATGTCACTCATCATGTAGACAGTAGTATCCATTTTAGTCACTTAACATCATAAATCCATCTCTAATTACCTTATAATAATGATCAAACTCTTATTACATCATCATTTGACCAAGAACATAACTTTAAATCTTCTTTAAATGTGATAAAACATATACTTTACGAAATCAAACAATCTTTTCACATCACCTTGCACACTTTTCTTACTTCTATATCGAACTTATCATCTACACTTCCATAGAACCTTTATCATATATGATTCTTTAAATTCAATCCTTTTTATTTATTTATCCATTTATCCTTTCATAATCAAAATCTCCTTATTACATAACTGAACCATATCTTTCACCCATGTTTTTCTATTCTTTTCGTATCACTTTTACTTATCTCTGATTACATCTCTTTATTCCCTCTTCATAACTCTTATAATCCATATGAATTGCCCAACAATCTTGTTCTTATACAAAATCTTTATTCTATCTACTACTACCTTTAATTTCCTTTGAATACACAAATCCAAATCCACATCATACTTGATTAACTTAGCTTTATATCCTTTTCACATATTATAATTATATCTCCTTACCATTACAACTAATCAATAAACAACTATTAAATCTAGGGCACAAGCCCTTAATCAACCAATCATATACATAATTTCCAATTTAAATTATCCTCATAATAGTTTACTTAACTTATCAAATTCACGTTCGTTCTCATACACCATATAATTTCCATTGTTCAGATTCAACCATTTCATCTACCTTTGTCTTATAAATTGATCACTGATGTACATATTCTTAAACTCTTCCAAAACAATATTCTCCATCATTTGATCTTTTAATATTCTCCAATTAACATCCAACCCCTTTACTTTATCTTATCAGTGCAACAAAGGAACTACTCTATTTTCGAACGATAAAGATCTTCTAATACTGAAATTTCTAATCCGTCTGAAATGATTAGCTTTACTCTTTTCAATCTACAATTGGCATTTGTATGCTAATTATATAACTGGTTCATTTCCAATCTTACTTCAAATCCATTGAATAATAATTTCATCAACTTAGCAGGAAATTCAATTCTCTGAATTCTAATGGAACACTTTCAATATATCTTATTTATCCAACCACTGTGCCCTAATAGATTTGTCACTGCCACATCACTATAAATAACTTCTAATTGAATTCTCAATTCTTTTACCAATTTACTACTAATATATGAATATGCAAGCCCAAATCAAACAATTTCATAACATATTTATTATACATTAGAAATGTACCTGCTATTATCTCTGGATCATCAAAATCTTCATTGGTATTGATATTATACACTCAAGAAGTGGAGCGTATTTCCTGTTGAGTAGAGGATTCAGGTTGACTTATGCCTCTTCCTCTTCCTCTACCTCATCATCTCTGAGACATCGAAGCAGATTGCTCCAACTGTATTGGTTCTCCTGTCCTCAATGGATAATCTCTCATGAAATGTCCTACTTTACCACATCGGAAGCAAGCTCTGGTAACTACTCTACACATTCCACTATGGCTTATTCCACATATTTCACATTATCTAATTTGACTCTGATTTGCTTCCCCAACACTAGACCCTACTGATTGAGTCTGTCTAGCTCTCATCTAATTTAGTACTCCAGTAGAGAATGCCATCGACTCTGATTGTGTTTGAGATCAGAAACCAGAATCTTTACCTCTATTGGGTAGTGCAAAACTTAATGAAGCCCCAATTCTTTTATATGGTTGGGTTCTTTGATCCCTAAAACTTTCATTCTGAACTCTCTCTAAAGCTTTAACACGATTTACTACCTCTTGAAATGAGGACAAGTTCAGAACGATCAACATTTCTTTCAACCTTGGGCGTAAGCCCTCCACAAACCATTCACACGCATCTTTTTCTGTAGTCACAAGCTCCGAAGCAAACCGACTCAGCTTATTAAATTCACATTCATATTCGTATATGGATCGATTCATCTGTTTCAAATTCATAAACTCTTGCTTCATTTGCCTGATGAATTGATCTCCAATGTATTTTTGCTTAAACTTTTCCAAGAACAGAAACCAAGTTACTTGATCACTTGACATCCTCATGGTGACATTCGTCCACCATATTCTAGCTTTTCCTCTAAGTAAAGACACAACTCCATCCAGCTTCTTCACTTCAGAGCAATGGAGACCATCTAGCATGATTTTCAAATCATTTAGCCAAAGATCCGCTGCAACCGGACCTTCTTAAGCTTCTCTCTTAAATTCGAGAGCTTCCAATCCTCTCAACTCCTTTTCTACATTTACTCTGGGAGTTGATGAAGCAGGAAGTTGGAAACGTGTCAATACCGTATCTAACGTTCTAAAGAACACATCTTGATCAGCTACAGGCACTCTAGAAGGTGCATGTTCTTCACTTTGCCTGTCCAAGGCAGGTGAATTACTGCTTTCAGCGTGCCTATCTTCTCCCGCTTTACTTCTAGAACTATCATGACTGGACATCTATAAGACACAACCATATTATTCTATTAGTAACATATCATACTTACTATTCTATCAGATCAGAAGTTTTCACTATTTTGTTGGCATGTATGCATTATAAGACACTCTAGACTTCGATTTATTCCGAGAATCGATTAAATCGTAGCTCTGATACCGTTAAATGTAACACCCCAACCTATACCCAACCCAGATACGAATTCGAGATGTCACATTGACTTTTTAAAATAATATTCTTACAAAATATCAAAACATTTGGACTTATATTAAGAAAATACGATAATATACCGTTGAATTATGTTTCATTATAACAAATTTAAGATAAAATGTTTTTATGAATAGCACTATACGACATGAATAGTACCGATACTGTTTAAATATTATGAACAGTGATGAATAGTACAGTGAACAATATCGATGTTAAAAATTTTCTAGAGTGCTACAGAGAAACTCTAAATATTTAAACATGTATGGACATATCATCTCATGATGTCACACAAAACATTATAAGATTATATATAATATAAGTACACCTATACACATCACACATTATTTCTATCATTGATTTTATTCCACTATCCATATTATTATCATTTATATCCTTTAGTCATATTTTCTTATATTTAACATTTTTATCAACATATGACTCATTCAAACAATACACACATCATCATATAAATCATATAATACAATTCATATCACAAAAGCATATACTTAACAAGTACTATGTTTATTATTATCTCTTTGTTTAGCCCATGTACATTACTGATAACTCAAGGTATTAGAGTACATTGAGGTTGTGCACTATTGTTGTCACCACAGCTCGTATAGGGTCCCACTAGGGGCATATGAAATTTGTCCCAAAGGACCTATGTATTTATCCCGAATGACCTCTGTATATGTCCCGAATGACCACGTAGAACCCTCGACTCTTGGCATGCCAACTATACCTATAGCTCTCATATCATATACCATGGACATTATTCTTATGTTTCATATGTTCACGTACTCATGTCATTTCTCTGGTGATCACATAGCTCATATCGCTTATCTCATGTCATATTCTCATATCACATATTATATCACATGTGCATTTGAATCTATTCATATATATCGTTTATCAAATCATATGAACATATATATCTTATGCATGTATCATAATAATTATCATGTATGCATGTTCATAACTATTGTACTATGAAAATCAACATAGGAATTAGACTTATCACAAATCTTATTCCATTGTACTATACTTATAGTATGCACTCACCTATATCTTCTTACCTTTCCCTCAATCTATCTTACTTATCCCTTGTTTTGGAACTCGTTTAGGCTCGATATCTACATAAACATAAATTTCGAGACGATTATCAGAAGCCTAAACCTTATACTTCGATGTTATTAACTTAAACGAATTTAATAGACCAATATTCACTTTTTCCTTTAGGGGTATCAATACACTCCTTAGGGTATCGATGCTCTTATTGCATTATGTGATTTTTCATTCAAGAGGGTATCAGTACACATACGTAGGGTACCGATACACTCTACCCAAAACAAGCTTTTTCACTCGAAGGTTCATCAACTCTTCACTGAATTTCTTCATATACAACTCCTTTCATGTTCTTAACTTACATATGCATGCTTAAACTCATTTATATCTATTTATCTCATCTTTAACCTTAATATCCTCTCCTCTTTATGAACTTTAAGAACCATACCCAAATTTTAACATGTTTTAAATCAAATTCTAATACTCCATATTCCTTAATTAGGTTGATGAAAAGTCAAATCCAACTTTCAATTCTTATTATAAACTCTATTTCAAGATTTCACTCAAGAACTCCAAATCTTTAATCTTCCTAACTCCTTTATTTTTTGATTTTAAGATAACTTAAGCTTTCATTAAGCTTATTTATCATCTAATGATCAAAACCCATACTTAAAATCAACAAATAATCAACAAATCAGAAAACTTTCCTTTGCTTGGCTCTCTTTCACGTATGAAGAAGAAGAATAAGAAGAAGAGGAATGAAGGAATGAAGAGATTTCTGGAGAAATATCTCAACCTTATCCCCATATATATCATTATCTTATCATTTCCAAGTCAAATGATCATTTTGCCCTTTAATTCTTTTAATAATTACTAATAACCCTTTAGGAATTATTTTCAAATAAGTAATCAAACTATTCAATTATTATACTTTAATCACTAAATTCCGAAGTCTTACAATTTATATATAAAGTATTATAAAAATATATTGTAATATTACAATTTTAGTATAGTTATTTATTTTTTAACACATAAAATATTTGTCCATATAATAATATATAAATTTAAAATTTGATCAATATTATTTAAATGTATCTCGTGTTATATTTGAATTATTATTTGACTTTTAAGCTAATAGTCACATTAGAAAAGAGTAAATTATGTATGTATTCAGTCACTCAGTTTGGTTGTTTAATTATTATTTTTCAAAATCATATCTAAAGTTACATTTTAGTTCTGTTTTGGTCACCCATTGTTAAAAAATTAATGGTGATGCTGACCTGTCATCATAAGGTAATCATCATTAAAAAAATTATCACGTTAGTAGTTTTGTTTTTTTAACAACAGATGATTAAAACAGAACAAAAATGTAACTTTAGGTATGATATCGAAGAAAAATAGTCGAGTGACTAAATAAATTGTTTACCCTAAAAAATATTTGATAAATATTATAAATAGTCATTAAACTTCCTAAAGAGTTGTAAAAATCATTAAATTTATCAAACTATTATAAAATTATCTCTAAATTTATCATATACGGTGACCATTTCATAATAATTTGATAAGTATAATGACTATTTTGTAGTTTATAAAACTTAAATGATAAAAATGTCAATTAAGAATAGTTAGTGACCATTTAGTATAATTTACCCAAAAATATAATTTTTGTAAAGCGCGATTGAAATCCCTAAACGAGTTATCGGTCCCAACAAAACCCCTAAAGGAGTGAAAACAAAAGAATTTCCTAATTATCCAAAAAAAAAAATTCCCCTGTCGAATTTCAACATCCTTTGTAATAATTTTTTAAAAAAAGAATTCCCAAAAACACTTAATATTTTCTCTTCGTTGGATTGAATCTGATAGGGAATATGGAAGAAGAGATGAAGAAGAAGAGAAGAAGAAGAAGAGAAACAAAAAGAAGAACAATCAGGGCAAAACCACCGAAGAAGATGCAGATCAGATTCAAAGTAATAATGTCAGAAATGGCCAGAGCAGCGGCAACAATGCTCTGGTTCTGGATAGTCATCATCTTAATGGAGCTCTTGCCGTTAGTGAATCTTCTTTTTGCTCTTCGTATTAGTTAATACGATCCGCCATTGATTATAATCCGCAATTCTTTTTTTTTCCTTTTTCTTATTACGAATTGAAAATGATAGTTCAAATTTCATTTCTGTTGCTATTTAATTTATATTCAAAATTGAGATTGCAAATTTGCTAGGAATATTGATATTTTGTGGCATTACTATTGTGAACTCATGTTTGATTGTCATTACATAGTCTTCTTTATCATTAGGAGTTGTAATGTTGTGATATATTGAGCATAGATCATGACATAATCCTAAAGAAAAATAGGATGGTGTGTGTGGTGATATATTGTTTTCTTCTTAATAGAACTCCGCGGAAGAGATGATTAACTAGCTACGAAAAGAGAATGAACTACATGTACAGAAAGAGGTAATGTTGAGTCATATATTTGTGGTAATAGACAAGCATGTAATTTCTTTTTATTTGCACTGCATGTTTCATTTGTGTCTTTGCCTTGATTTTGATTGTCATCCATAACACAGGCTACCCTTTCACATTTCTACAGGCTACTTTGCAAGAGAGAATTCAACACTTGCAACATGAAAATGAATCACACCGTCAGAAAGAGGTTAATTTGAGGTTATCTTGGAGGAGATATTTTCCTTTTTTCTTTCATTTGTTTTATGATGTCCCTCTCTTTTATTTTTGTATAGGCTACCTTAGAAGAGACAATCAAGCAGTTAAGAAATGAATTTGATTCCCACCTAAAGAAAGAGGTAATGTGTTACGAATGTAATTGTATGTATCAACTGAAAACTGTTCTCTGAAATTGCACTCATCTCTATGTGTGTGTGTAAAAGAAAATTGCTGTGTAGTTTGATTATGTTATGATATTTTTTGTGACCCCCCCCCTTTCTGTGAAGTATGAGTGAGTCTCTTTCTTCTTTTAGGTTTTCTTAGAAGAGACAATCCAGAATTTACAACATAGAAATGATTCGCACCTAAGGAAAGAGGTAATGCAGGTTTTAGCGGCTAAAATTCTGTGAACATTTCATACATAAAGGATGACTTTACCTTTTTTCTATCTAGAAATCTTTATGCAAAATATATTCTGTTGTAGTTTTAACTTCTCTATCTTGAAGCACAAAGTAATCCTTTGTCTTCTTGCAGGCTTCTTTAGAAGAGGCAATCCAACAATTACAACATGAAAGTGGATCACAGATGCAGAAAGTGGTAACATACTGAAGTTTCTTCCCCTTTTTTAGGGTACAATATAGAACATTCTAACGTTAACGTGTATTCAGACATGCATATTTTTGGGTAGAAGGCTAACGATTTCCCGACTTTTAGTTAAATGTTCTTATTTCCTTTCTTGTAATCCTTTCTCTCTTGGCAACTGCTATATCTAACGAGACGATCTACAGGCTAGTTTAGGGATGAATGTCGTAGGACTACAGAATGAAAAAGAATCCTGGTTTCAAGAAAAGGTAATTTAGGTTGATAGATTATTACTTAAGGACGACATCTTTCAAAATCTTTTTTCCCGTATTCACCTTTATCCTTTAATGACAAATAAACTTCCAATAAAGCAATTTTCTTTGTCTGAATCTTTATTGCCATTGTTTGTGAGGATTTTTGGATATTTTGGGATGTATTTGATAATTTATTGTCATCAACTTGCAGGCCAGCTTTGAAGAGAAAATCAGTCACTTGCTGGACGAAAAAGCTGCTCTGGATCTGAAATGGGTAAATTTTCTAATAGTAGTTGTTTTTGTAGTTTTGGGGAAATAGAATTCTGGGCTACGGAAAAGAAAGAGAGTCCTTATCCTTTTATAGACCACTTTTGTACAAGGAGTCTATCCTAATTCAAACTTATTTAAAATTTAACATTTAAATTAGAGATAAACTAGAAGATTTATCCTAAACTAACTAACAAAATAAAATAAATCTTATCTACAATCTACAGTTTTATACCTGTCTTTTATTTTTTGAATCTTTTGTGGGTATATGCATTTCTCTGCATAGTCATTCCTACAACTTTGTGATTGAGATCTTAAAAAAGGTTGGTTCATTCGTGCAGGCAAACTTGGAAGAAAATGTTAGACAGCTGGAGAAAGAGAATTGGATTCTGACAGAGGTAGTAGACTTTGCTCTTATAATATTTGTCAATAATGCATTTTATTGGGAGATGGTGATCTAAGTAAGAGCCTGGGATCTAATTAGATTATATACCGTGTCAAGGCTTTTGTGTGATCCGCATTAATGGTTTTCCTGGGATCTAATTGGATTCTATACTTGAGATTGGATTGAACCTATGTTACCTGGAATGCGGATCGGTCCGGTACGAGGAACGAAAACCGGAACGTAAAGTGCTATTTGTTTGGTACGTAATTCGATAGGAATAGTCTTCTTCGGTTTGTTTAGTAGGAACGAGATACGGCTTATTGAAACGCAATACTTTTTTTATATTATATAATATATATTTTAATTTAATTGAAATTAATATAAACTTATGCAATTTACAGATAAAATAACTAATTTTCATAAATTTAATAATAAACGAAATACTATCTAATAACCAATAATATTTAATATAAAATTTAAAAAAAAAATTGGAATCAAATTAATCATGCAATGACTATTTCTGAATAATTTATCGAAAACCAATAATAAGAAAAACATATCAAGGAACTGGGCTGCCACTGGAAAAGCATAAGTTGTCTAAACAATCTCAGTCGGTCATGAAGTGTTTGACCAGCTCTTATTGTGGACCTTTAGAATTGAGCAGTTGACTAGTCTTTAAAAACTAAAGAGGATTGCTGAAGTGAACGAATTGGATCACAAGCGAATTGCGATTTGGAACACTAGTAACCGATACGTAATTTACCGAGTGTTAAGCAACTTGTGGTGACAAATGATTGAAGTATGAACCGTGTCAAACTCTTTTTACACAATTTCCTTTTTGAATCCTTTTCTAGGTTCTTTTGTTTGCAACAGAAGTTCATTCCTCTTAATCCTCATCTGCATCTGCACCATTAGAACATAATAGTCTACTCTGTTGTTCTTATTTTAATTATTCACTGTTTACAGAATTCCACCAAACAATCGATTTCTAGCCTTAATCGTGATATTACAAGACTAAAAATGCAGGTACAGTATTTTCACCCACGTGCTTTAATGGCTTCTTTTTTCCTTTTACTGGTTATTGGACTCGATAGCATGATTAATCCTCTATTTGCTTGACACTACTCATATAAGTTTATTCTCAATTGTTAGAATAGACTACTATGGGCTGCAGATAAGTCAACCATTTTTTGCAGTGCAACTCTTTTTATTCTGATGTGGATATTGAAACAAAGCTTGGCAGGTGATTGAGTTGGAAGAGTCCAAGAGCAAGCTTTCACGAGAAAATCAGCAGCTTACCGAAAATATATCTAGCATGCAGTTACATATACAAAACCTCAAGAGGAACATTTTATCCGTTCCCCCATTTGAAGGCAATAACAAGGTTTGCTCCCCTTTTCTCTAGTGTCTTGGCAATTCTGTTTCTAGTTGAAGCAAATGTATCTAGTTTCACCCTATATGAGGATTCATGAGATGGATTTGGCTCCATGTTTGTTGTTGTGGAGGTTTCCTCTGTGGTTCTGCCAAAAGTTGATCAAAATTTGGAAATACGAAAACATTTAAGCGATTAATTACTTAGCAGTTAAAGGTTATAATGTTTGGAGTTATGTCTTTGAAGAAATTTAGTTCGACAGCGCAATCTAGCTGACTAGTTTTCTCTAATGTAGCAAGGTTCTGGCTACGAGGATCTTAAGTCTCAGATTGAAGCAGCAAGTGTGCTTGTCGAAAAACTGGTCATGGAGAATGCCGAGCTTGTTGAGAAGGTGCTGTTTGGCCTGCAACATACACTGATTTATCTTTTGCTATTAGTTTTCTTTTTAGGACTAATATCCATGTGAATTTAGCAACTCGGTTGCAGGTGAATGAGTTGTATGTTAAGCTTGATCAACAAAGCAAGGCAGGAGGACATTCTAAGGTCATTGAGATGCCTAATTCTGTACCGCAATTCCTCGAGAATGGCTCTATATTGTATCCAAAGTTGGATTCTGCAGAAGCTTCTCCAATTACGAATGGCGAAATCGAACATGAGAATGTGGATGAGCAACCTACTGCTCCTCTTCCACGCAATGTAGAATCTGAGGACTCAGGAGAAATCGTGCAAATTCCTCTCGATGATACTGATGTAAGGAATTTGGAATCCCGGGGCAGTGTTGGTGAAGAAAACGCTGTGCCACTCACCGATGCTCCTCTGATTGGTGCTCCATTCCGGTTAGTATCATTTGTTGCTAGGTATGTTAGTGGTGCTGACCTGGTTAACAACACCTGAAGCTCGGGCTCGTAGAGAAGATGCATTTTTTTCATACGCTATCTGTTATTCATTTTGTTTCGAATCATACACGGTACACTTTTGAACTAGAGATAAAAGATGGCCAAATTGGCCGCAATGTTGTTGTTCCGATAACTGGTACAGATGAATGTTATCTGTGGAGAGGGAAAATACTGTTTACCGTAGCCGACACATTCAGTAACATACGTTTAAGGCTGGCCTTGCGACGTAAAGCATACAATAGAACAATATAACATTCTGTTTATTTTAAAGGGTTAATGTATCTTTTACCCCACGACTTTGGTTTTGATCTATAATTTGGCCATTGATTCTTTTTCGGAGCAATTTGAACCCTGGTTTTGGCTTTAAACAACAATTTGCCCCAACTTTTTTGTTAGGTGCAATTTACATTTGAAATCTTAACACTTTAGATCATTTTTAATTTATAAATAAAAATTTTAATCAGTATTCTAAAATTGTACAAAAAGTAGATAGGATCAAATTGCATATCAATGTCAAAGTCAGGGGCCAAATTGTAGAAAAAAATCAATGGTCAATGTCAGGAGTCAAAAGATACATAAATTTATGTTTTAAACCCTTAATATAACAAATTAAGAAGTTTTTTTAAGTTCCAATATTAAGTGGTGCAAAAAACAAAAAATTGGTTATATATACCACTTTGAGAGATATTGCCAAGTTTAGGTACTAAACAGATAAAAAATAAAAATTCAAATTCAAATACCACTTTAAGAACTATTATCAAATTCAAATGTGATTTTTATATTAAACCAAACTCTTTTTATACAATACTTAAATAATATATGATTTTTCAAAAAATAATTATAATTAAATATTTTTGAATACATAATTTTTTAATGATATTAATCGAATTAAGTTCGGTAAATGATTTTTTAAAGGCTTAGTACATGTATTAACCTCTTTACTTTAATGAAATTTTCATTTTTAACTCTTTCTAATTTTCATCAATCTAACCTTTCAACTTTCAATTAATTATTGAGTTAACTACATCATATGTCCTTAAACTATAACTCTCACTCTAAATGTCCTTAAACTTTTGAACATTTTAATTTCATCCCTAAACTATGACTTCTTTCTAAATTAGTCCCTAAACTTTTCAATCTCCTAATTTTATTCCCAAATTTATTCTATAAAATATTTTACGATGTTTTGAAGATATTGTATAAATCATTTTCACTATTATTTGATACACTATAATTAATTTACAGATAATAATTTACGTAAAATAAATTTTATGAAAATTAATTTATATAAATACAAATTTTAAATTAGAGGATTGTGCATGATGACACCGCCATCAAATATAAATTATAAAAGGGAGATAATGGTGGGAAATGTGGTAATGTAAATCTCCCACGTAAAACTAGTTCCGTTGCCGTTTGGCGTTGGGTGCCGTCTCTTTGCTGCAGTGACTATCTGTTCTCTTAACTCGATGCTATTTGGGCCACATACAGTACACTTAGTACTAAACTAATACGATGAGTTCACGAGACTGAGGAGGATTCAGCAACCGCGGCACCACCGGCTTAATCTCAATCAGAAATCAAGAGAAAAGCCGCCAGAGATACTGGAATCTCAAAGTAGCGGTTTCCGTTAGTCGTTAGAGAGCGGAGGCGACAAAATTGACGAAGAAAAACAAAACAAACAAAAGAACTGTTGTCTTGCCGTCTCTGTGCTTCTCCACTGAAAATCGTAAATATTATCTTTATTTTGGTCCAATTTTCCAAATTAAAGCAATAATCATCGCAGCATTACAGGTGAGGGAAGGAAGGAATGAAAGGTGGCGATGGCGGCGGAGTTGGTCCTGCGAAGCCGCTATGGAGAGGTCTGGCAATTGGCGTTCTCTTCCTTATGATTTTATCAATGCTGATTCACCTTGGATTCTTGCTTGGCCTACACAATGGATTCCACTCTTCCGGTAACCCTTATCAAATCTTTTATCCTTTTAGATCTGTTTTCGATCAGGTCATTGTATGCGATCGTGAGTTGGATTTGTAGATATAGATTTCACTGTCTTTTTCTTTAACAATTCGAACCAGATCTCTAATTGTACTCACTCATGTATGCTCTACTCGTTTGCTTATCTCTTATCATTTTCATTTGCGCTTTATCTATGCCTGCAGGATTTGTGCCTCTTCAGCACAGTTCACCTTCGGTAAGTAGTTTGTTTTCCTGATTCTATGGAAATTGTATTAGTTTATCCAAAAGAGAAGGAAACATCAGAGTTAAAGTAGAAAATGAGCTGATCAAATATTATCTTCTGAAAAAAAAATAGTTATAATTAGTGCTTTGAATTTTTTTTGATAGGGGGATCGTACAAGACATGTAGATAACCTTGAGAGAAAATTAGGACCTACCCTACCAAAGGTTGGTTTTCCATGACGCTCCTTTGTGTGTGTATTGTTTCTGAAATATGCTGTGTCTTTCCTTTTCTTTTCTTCTTGCACTTGCCCTATATCATATATGGTTGGTGTTGAGGCTTGAGTTTTTGCAACGAAATTATAAAATGATGATAAAGTAACTATACCTTTGTGTTAGCTGTAGGTTTTCTGGGGTTATACATTGGTTTTATAGAACTGACATAACACTAATTATTATATTGTGTTCTGTAATCCATGAAAGACACTAAGAGAAGTGTGTGGAAAATGAAGTTAAATCCTTTTATAGTTAATTTGAGACAGAAAAAACAAGGTAGAATATAACTTCTTTTTTTTCATCTCTTGATTGGTAATTTTATCGCGTATCAAATTAGTGACATGAACACACTTTTTAACTGTGTGAACAAGAACCTCAATAATTCAGTCATATTATGAATAGAATAAATTTATGTTTGGTTCTCTATTTTAAAAGAAAATAAAAATTACGGGGGTTAAATAAATGTGAAAGACAATATGATTTCATTGAATTCTGCAGAGAAAGTACTTTCTAACTGTTGTGCGAGCTTGTATCTCCTGTTATGATGTTGTAACGTCACTACTTACCATTGTTCTTCATCCCAGTTCTTTAAAGTCTCACTTGAATATAAATTTCACCTACCCGAAACTCTGTGAAGAGTCTTTTATTTTTGTTCTTATTACACTTCTATTTCAAACTAATCACTGGCTCTTTTTTATCCTTGATAACTATTGATGCCTAAACAAAAATTCTAAGCAAGACTGAAACAAATAATTAAATGTATTGGTTTGGGGAAAAACCTAGATATATTGAAAGCCATGAATGGAATCTCAACAACAGAAATGTATATTTATCATTGTATCTGAGACTTGCTTATGCTTAAAGCATAGATTAGGGCCTATCAACCTTCTTGAAACCCAATATGCAGGGTCGACTCAGAGCTTTTTTCTCAATGGGCAGGAAACTAGAAAAGAAAATTTCAAATAAAACAACATTGATGAGCAAAAACTATGATTTGACATTAATTCAGGGTAGTAGGTTTTGTACTTTGCTTCTAGTGTGCTAGCTTTAGAGGGCTTCTGCTCCAACCTTCAATTTTCCCTTCTCTTGATTCCTTTTTCCCTTTTTCTTTTCAATTCATTTCGTAATTTGCAGAAATTGAAATATACCATCATTAGTAGCAGTGTCTGCCACATTCTGCACCTGTTCAGTGTGAAAGTAAAAATATGTGGCCTACGGCTACCATCTAGCTTTTCTAGTATATTATCTTGGCTTTGTACTAAAAAACTTGTAGTTGGATCGTATATTTGCTAATTATTAGGGACTAAGAGATATGATTAATCACTCTCTTTTTGTAGCTCTATCATTTTAGTAGTTGGTCCCTTAATTTTAATCTCTTATGATGCATGAACACATGTTTGTAGTAGCATCTCATTTTATCCATTAATTTGTAATCTAATGTAAACACCTTAACCTGTTTTTACGGTTAGCAATGAAGCACCTTAACTGAACTTTTATTTGTTATGTTATTAAGGTGCAAAGTATCCTAGTGCCTTGTGACTCATGTTTAGACTTATAAAAGTACCTCTTATGCATGTAGTTTGATCATGATCTTTACAACCATACTGCAATAGCCTATGGTTATATGTTTGTTTGTTTTTAACTTTTTTTTTTCACTTTAGGATATTATTGAACGCTTTGTACATGAAGTAAGAAATGAAACCAGCAGTACAAATGCCACACGTAAAAGTCAGCAGATGAAAGGTCTGGTTGAACTCTTTGTTAACCGTGCCTCGGATGATTAATCATTCCCTTTTGTTAATTTTCAGTTGGAACATTTTCTTTTAACATTCAACAGGTTTTGCAATTCCGCCTCAAGTTGTGCTGCAACCACTCGGCAACGGAAATGTACGCATATTGCTAAAAGTTTGCATGTGCTATTTAGCAAATTCTTTTACTGCCATGTAACATCTCTAAATAATTTGATTTTCTTTAACAGATTAGTAGAGATATTTTTAAAACAGGAATGAAACGTGGTGTTGATGAAAATCTGTGATTATGTGAGTTGAAATATGGGAGCTATTGCATTTGGCATGAAGAAAATAGGGAAGACATGAAAGATTCCACAGTGAAAAAATTGAAGGACTAGCTTTTTGTAGCCAGGGCATATTTTCCCAGTGTTGCAAAAATGCCAGCCCAGAACAAGTTGTCTCATGAACTTAAACAAAATATTCAAGAACTAGAGCGTGTCCTTAGTGGAAGTATTACAGATGCTGATCTTCCTCCATCGTAAGTTATGGTGCATTATTGATAACTTCATAAAATTCCATGAATAATACCAACTACTCTTGGTCTGATGATACCATGAGGATGGGGATACTGATCGATTTACTGACTAGAAATGATAGTTTACAATGAAATGCTGTACTCCATTTCAAATTGAACCTCCACTATAGCATAAAGCTTTAGGAATGAGGTAATTGCCCTTTCCAACTTTTACCCTTCAAGTGTCGTAAAAACTGGAGGAGCCACCTTAAGTTCATCTTTCACCAAAAGGAAACATTGGGAAAATGCATTTCATTTAGGGAAACTGGACATTTTATTGAATCCGGAAATAGTAAAAATTGGACATTAAGTTTTACACAGATGCAAAATATGGAGAATTTGTCCATTTGCATTCAGATCTGTTTGTTCATTTTCTCTCCGTTATGCTACTTTTGTCCTGATCCAGGAGTAGGGGCTCTATCTTGTACTTCACTTAGATCATTCTTTTAGTATTTGGGTGCCATATCTTTGTTAACCTAATATTTTAATATGTTGCTTCTGGTATTCAGTAATTCTTTTTATAATTCCTGGTGGGTTAATAACCTTAGCACGCTAGAGCAAGCTTCTAATATGTTACTCGACTCATTTTCTTGAAAAGTATCTGCGTCCAACATGTTTCCGGGGACCCTTTGAGGATCTTCCAAATACATCGAAGAACTTGGTAAATTGAACATGCCAGTGTCATATACACACTTGTATATGACTTTCTTGCTTGAATCGAAGTAACATAGCTTAGTATTTTATTTATTTCCGAGTCTAGCTTTTACTGTAGGCAGTTTACCTGAAATTGTTATTATGAATTCTCGATCTTAAAGATTTCAGAGAGTGACCTCAACATCATTGTGGGTAATGTTATGTACTTAGGTCCCGCAGTCCCACCCCCCAGATAAAAAAAAAACTCTCCCCCTCTCTTTAAGCCTGTCCTTTTGACAGATTGGTAATTGGTTGAGTAAATAGCGGTCGCGGTAATCTTGTGTTCTTTTGAATATCTAGAATGTTCATATTTCTTGCTTCAGTACCAAGTCTATTCTACTGGTTGGTATCAGGATTGAAAAGAAGTCAGAAAGGATGGAAGCTGCCATAGCCAAAGCCAAATCAGTCACTGCAGATTGTAATAATGTAGACAAGAAATTGAGACAAATATTTGACCTAACTGAGGATGAAGCTAATTTTCACATGAAGCAGAGTGCCTTCCTCTACGGACTTGCAGTCCAGACGATGCCCAAGAACCATCACTGCCTGTCTATGAGATTAACTGTAGAATATTTCAGAGACGATTCATTTGATCAAGAGCTGACTGAAAAATACTCTGATCCCACATTACAGCACTATATTATATTCTCTGGTAACGTCATTGCATCATCAGTTGTAATAAACTCAACTGTTATGCATGCAATGGTATGTCATAGTCATTCTTTGATACCGTTTCATTGTTCTGTGCCAGAGTTCTAGTGGTTAGACTGACTGGTTATCCTGCAACATTTCAGGACAGTATGAACCAGGTTTTCCACGTGCTGACTGATGGACAGAATTACTATGCAATGAAACACTGGTTTCTCAGGAATGCATTCAGGGATGCTGTAGTTCAGGTGCTGAATATCGATCATCTTATTCAAGATTACTCTGATAAAACAACTCTACCTCACCTGAACTCACCTCTGGAGTTCCGAATTTCCTTTTACAACAGTGGTAACTACCAGCAATGCATGATAGAACAATACTTATCCATTTTTTCTCATTCCCATTATCTTCTTTCTGAGATATTCAAAAACTTGGAAAAAGTCGTGGTTTTGGACGATGATGTTGTTGTCCGGCAAGACTTGTCAACACTCGGGAACCTAAACATGGGACAGAAAGTGATGGGTGCTGTCCAAATTTGCTCTGTGAGATTGGGTCAGCTGAAGAGATATTTGGGCGAAAACAGCTTCAACAAAAAATCATGCTCGTGGATGTCCGGATTGAACGTAATTGATCTGGTCAGGTGGAGAGAGCTAGGCATTTCTGAAACCTACTGGAAGTTGGTGAAAAATGTAAGTTAATCCTACGTTGATAATCTCTCTTATCAGTTCAATTACATGTGCAATATACTGTTTAGAAATGACATTAGTATTGCATGACTCTGTATTCAACCTCTAACCTAAATCCACAAGTATTTATATTTTTCTACCGTGTCTCCTTTGACATAGAACGATGCAGAGCTGCAACAACTAAACTACGGAAAATCTCAGCTTTGACTTTCAGTTCTTATGATGACAACAGATGAGCATGGAGGAGGAATCAACCGTGCTTGCAAGCATGCTTACTTTTCAGGACCTAATCTACGCTCTTGACAGTGAGTGGATTGTATCGGGCCTTGGTCACGACTATGGGATTAGTATCCAAAGCATCAAGAAAGCTGCAGTGTTGCACTATAATGGAAATATGAAACCTTGGCTCGAGCTGGGAATTCGCTAGTATAAGGTGTACTGGAAGAAGTTTCTAAACCACGAAAATCATTTTCTGAACGAATGCAATGTAAATCCATAATGAGCCGGCGGTGGGGTTTAACATATGAATCCTCGAAAAATTCGAGGGCTCAAGGAACTAATCGTGAGAATTTCGACGACTGAGCTAGAGTTTTGAAAGGGTATTAAACGGCAACAAAATGTGTAGCTGTGATGACCTCGATGGTTGCATATATATGTATGTATTCCGAACCTTTCAGTAAATAAACCTTAGGATGGAGATTGAGTTCCCTGAAGATGGCTACAGTTGCTAGGGGAAGATGGATTTTGGCGTATCGAAGTGATTGTTGGAAAATGCACTATCTGCTTCCTTCTAGCTTTGAATGTGATAAACTTTTGATTAATAACCATACACAGAGAAGGGCGTAATTTGCATCTGTTCCAAGGCTTTTTAATTTCAATGGCCTTTCTCAATCCAGAAAATGCCTGCATGCATCCATGAGGGTTGTTCGTGGCAACTGAGTGTGGTATTAAGCCCTTCTAATTTTATTGGATTTACCATTTCATTAAATTTTTGTTTGGTTTTGGTCACAGGGAAATTATTTTTTTGGCTGATTTTCCAGATATGCATTACACATTGCTTCCCTTGTTTATTTATTAGTGTTAATGCAATTCGATCAAAAGTTGCAACATCACAACATAAACCATACTCAGGGATATTTGTGTATATACAAGTTATTCGGGTTCGTAAACAAATATTAATTCGGTTTGATCATTATCGAGATATTTGTGTATGTTGAACAAGCCATGTTTGGTGAACCTATTCTTGTGTCCATATGTTGAAGTATTTGAGTGTGTATGTTATGGATGGGGCTAGCTAGGAAGTTCTCACAGCATTTTGGACGAGACTATATATTTAAATGCACTCGAACTAATAATTTTCATATTGTTTAGCAACAAAAATATCAATTGAGATAATGCTCGGTCGAGGACCGTTACGATGAATTTAATGATATTTGTATGTGGAGACATGAGAAATGGGTGAAATGGTACTCTGGGATTTTGGCAAAAACATGGTTGTTGTCTTGCCACACATAGTATCATGTGGTAAATGTGTGTTTTGGATAATAGATGGAAAGGTTGAATAAGGGGGCTAGTGAGATTTGTCAAGCACATAATAGTCAAAAGGGTGCCATAATTGGGAAAATACAGGTTGTACAAAGTTAGAGAATGTGTGCACATGTCTCCCTGCCTTTTTATCTTCCTTCCATCATGTGTCCACTGTCTCACCTATGGACTATGGATCACATTTATTTAAATGAGTGAAAATTTTGATATTTTCTTAAATAAGTTTTCGGGTTTAGTTCAAGTTTAATCAGAATCTTAAGATGACTGCCAAAAAATGGAAATGAAAAGCATGGAGTTTCCTAAACGTTGCCATAATGATGAAATGGAAATTTTAACTATGGCGTATGCTAGTATGGTGTAGGGGATGCTTCATATGTAACCGTCTACCAAATTCATATAGAAAAGAGAAAACAAAACCCTTTGGATAATCTCATAATAATACAAAATGTAAATGGGCAATGGCACAACAGAGTGGGATCCCTTGAAGCACAAGCACCGTTTCCTCAATAAGTCAAAGACATACAAATATATATGGCTAAAGGGCAGAGCAAATTAAGAGGATGGTAACATATAGGAGGAAAATAAGCTAGCGGTGTAGAGTCGCATGGAAGGGTCTCCAAGCAGAAGCAGTAAGCAAGCAAAGGTCTTTCCAGCCGAGCTTGAGGGCACCGTTGTCCTCGACCAGGGTGTAACCGTCGGAGGGGAACATTCCCAAGAGCAGCGTGGCCTGCGTGGCGGCGTTGCCAGCGAGAGAGATGGGTTTGAACCCGGACTGCTGCAGCTTCTCCCTCCAGTTATGGAACTTGACCTCCTCGCTAGGGCCGCCTAGTGCCAGAACGTTTCGGATCTCTTTCGAAAGTAGCTGCTGCTCCACCACGTGCCGTTCCTCGCTCTCCTCGCCGTAGCTGGCTCCCAAGGAATCGAACAGGGCGGAGTAGTAGTGTATGGCCTCCACAAATCTTCCCAAGAATGACCCGCCGTGGCTCAAGTCTTGTTCTACTACGGTCACTACTTTGGGTGCCAATCTAAATCCCAAACACACATTGTTATTATTATATTCATCATCAAACACAACACCACGTGTTAGGTCATATACATTCATTGATTAATTGCTATTATTACTAGCACATTACATTACAAAAATATACATATAACGATAATCGAAATGATAATAAAGATAAACAAACAAGATCGTAAATAAAAACACATATTTACATGGAAATACTTAAAGGAATATGAGGGCAGAATTCACTGTAGTACAACAAAGTTTCAAGAGAATTTTATAAGAATATATTAAACCCTAGAACTCTAAAATATATACATATAATACGGATGTAGTAACACTAACTGAATAAAATTATATCACACTGTTCCCGCATCCTAACTGGAATCAATGGTAGACTTCAGCCTAAGAATTTCCATATCCACTAAATCATAACAAAATTCGAGTCACAAACTCTAAACATACATATACAAGCTGTTGAGTTCTAATTCGATTAACATCGATCGATCAGTTATGAAATTCTAAAGCTTGTTGATTAAATAAACTAAAATACAAATCACCACTTAAAATCACAGATATTTTGTGGCACGGGCAGGCCAGTTATGTTTCCAGACATTGAATACATGCAAACAAAACAGCTTCTGTTTATGTGGGTGATCCCAGACGTGATAACAAAAGACGACATGAGTATGTGTATGCATGATCTTGGCCTAATGCAAGTGTGAGATAATGATGATTAATCTCAATAATTATGCACTAATCATCTTCAAATTAACAGTAAGTGAACAGTATCAAAGCAATTAAGGACGTAGTTAGTCACCTTTGAAACAGCCACAGCATATTGGTATTGGAGCCGGTGACGTCGTAAAGAGAGTGCTGCAACCAGTGAACCGCCACCGCCTCCGTCTTGCTTACTTTAAGCCTCTCTGGTTCCAAGTTCCCTACTTTATCCGCCACCGGACAAAATTCAAAGGGAATTCCCAGTTTGTCTGCAAAATCAGATAAACGTTTCCCGGTGGCTTCCAGGGCCTCTAAGGAGGTTCCGAGTCCCGTGAGGCGAACGTGCGGTGGCCCGCCGGGTCTTGAAGCAAGAATGTGAAATAGTCCAGGCCATTGCAAGCCTTGCATTACGTCAAGATCTATGATGTGCACTCTCTCCTCCTTTTCAAAAGCTTCTTGTATAGCTTGATTTGCTGTAAAATGCGAGAACTTAACGAATGGACTTATCCCATTGAACACCTGAAAAGCCGAGACCAGCTTTTGAGTATGGCTCGGCGGAATCGACGGCAGACCGCCGCATATTCCCAAGCACGAACTCACCAGCCTCGCTGAGATAGCTTCTGAGAAATACGCCGCTACGCGCTGAGCCGATGTCCCGAACGGAGTCGACAGTTGCGAGAGCTCTAACAACATCCTATTAGCGTCGTCTAAGTTATTCGCTGAAACTGCCTCCGCGCATTGGAGTAACAACTTCAGGAGGTGCAACCCTTCTTCGTCTCTCTTCTGTTGCCGTAGCTCCTCTTTCCTGTCTCTACCACTGCATGCTTGGACCGTTTGAACGGTGCACGTCGGCGTCATAGTAGTAGTCACCGTTGCCTTCGTCGCCGTCGTCGAGGCCGTTGTCTTCTCGACTGGAGAAGCGTTTTCTCGTACCAACGGCTGCTCCTCAGCCCGGTGGTGCAGGTTTATCGAAGGAACCGGCGGAGTAGTCGTCGCTGACAAACTACAAATCTGATGATTGTTAGAAGAGATCGGAAGTGGTGTTATTCCCCAACTCATGTATTGATTCATGGCACCGGAATCTGTGAAGGAGTAATTAGGGAGACTATCTATGGCGGAGTCCAAGTTAAGCGTGAGCCCAGACGAGCCTTGTTGCTGACCATGGTGCCTCGGCAACGCCACCTCCGGCAGATGCAATGGCGGAGCCTCTCTCCTCCGTTCAAGTGGATCCATTAAAGAACGGAGCCGGTATTCGAGTAGAGCAGCGAGGTTCGGGTTGCAAGGGTAAATAATCTCCCGAACGTTATGGATGAGCTGAGGAATGGAAACATTAGCCGAGGTGTGGATAAGGTCCCGTATAACGCCGTCAATCCACGCCGTGGCTGAATTGTCATCCATGGAATTCGAGACCGGAGTAAAAGAAACAGGAACGGTATTATTACCGGAAGCGGCGGTGACGGAAGCGTTTCCGTTTCGATTCCTATCCGATGGTGGAAACAGAGGCAAACCCGAGAACCCACACACGGCAGGCGGCTGAGAACTAGTGGAGGACACGGTGTCGACACCAGAGAAACTCGAGGCTGTCGTAGATAAAAAAGCAGGTGGTCCGGCTGACGTCAAGGCGGCGAAACTCGAAGAAGGAATAACACATGTATTATTATTATCCATATTCATAGTGGAGTAGTTGAAGAGTGGATTAGGGTTATTATTAGCAGCCATGAAAGAACAAGCCATGCTGCTATCGGAAGCAAGATTCCGGCGAGGAAACCTGTGATAATCGGAAATCTCAGAACCCATTCTCTTCCTCATGGCGCTGCTTCTCACTGGGTTTTCTTCGTTCGCGTTGCTCCTTCTGTTACTCCCATTCCCACCAACCAAATCACAAGCAGCCATTAACAACAAGGGAATCACTCTTCAATCCTCATCCAAGCTTAAAGCTTTCACTTGATGGGATTTAAGTAAAGAAGAAGATACATTACTGATTAACAATGGGGGAGCATATCCAAGAAGAAAATGGTATGAGAACTGGGACAGCAGCCTTGGGATTCCTCTGAACTCAGGGCTAATAAGATAGGCAGCACGACATTCAATGATAAACAACGAAAACTCAATATTTTAATGCATCAAAACGCCGTTGGGGTTTTGGATGTTTATGAGCTGTGTGAATATCTGAGAAAAAAAGATGAAAGAAGAAATTAATAGGGAAATAATGAAGAAGGAGAAAGGGGTGGGTGGGTACATGAATTTATTCTCACTGCCAAAACTCAGAAGCAATTATTATTATGATTCAATTACTAACATTTATGTTATTATCCAAATACCAGATTTTATGTATGTGGGTATGATCATATATAAAGTACAATTAATATTACCGACTTATTTTTTTCCAAGATGGTTAGCATGGTATCGATTAAGAGTAACTAAAATTATACTCGATTCAAAAATTAAACTTTTTATTCTATTTAATGTTAAAAATTTTAACTCGATTTTATTCGACTCTTAAATTAAAAACTCAATTAAATTTAAAAATTTAAATAAAATTTGAATTATAAAATAAGACTCATAATTCTAACTCAAAACTTGTTGACTTGGTTTGATCGAGTCCTCCTGTATCAATATCACTTAGAGATGAGATTTTTATTCAAATAGTGATGGATTTATATCCATCCTTGTAAGATTTCTTCTTAAAATTTTTGGGTTTGGACAAGTTTTTTTTTAAGATAAGATCACGTCATGTCTAGATTTTACGGTAAAAAGTTCTCAATTTGACGTTTGGGCCAATACATATATTTGTTAGGTGCGGGATTTTACCTTAAAAATTAAATCAAATTACGGATCAAGTGCATTTATCTTAAATTCAAATCTAATTAAATGATACGTGGAAGGATATTATATTCGATCAGATTCGAGTATACTAAAAAACTGTCTCGATCCATAATCGTCCTTTATATCATTTGTATCGACTTGTACTAGTTATAAATTAATATGTTAAGTAAATTAAAATTTGTTTCAGTTGAAATTTTAACATTACATTAATATATTTCAATCAGTATCAACCTGTAATAGTTAATATAATATTTTTTATATTTTAAATTAATTTTTATTTTTATAATAATCTTAACATTTATATTTTATATATTTGATACTTGAGATTTTAAAATTTTCAAATTTAAATCTCATTATACTTGGACATATTATACATGAACTTTCAATCCAGATTTACTCTAATTATTGAAATTTTTATTTACAATTATTTTGATCGATTAACTTTTTATAAATATAATTTCAAAAAAAATGATATAAAAATGAGTTAAAAGTTAAATAAAGAAATATACTTAATATAATTTCATTGATTTAAAAGATTAACTATTTTATTTTTATCAATTTTTACCATGCATATTACATCCATACATAAACAACAACAAAAGAAACGATAAATGAAAAAGCAGTTTCCACGAACATAAATATTCAAAACATTAATACAAATTTTTTACTTATTTTTTTAGATTTACTCTTAATTTTACTGAATATTCAAAACATTAATGCATTTTTTTAACTCTTACTTCTACTTTAAAATCAGCATTTTTACTTACTTATTTTCACTTTATTATTATTGTAATTAGAAGATATATTATATTTCTAAAAAAATAAACTTAAATTTTAAACCAATATTATTTATAAAATAATTATGTCACTCTAAGTATAAATGGTAACATAATATAATTTTTTAATAGTAAAAAATGATTAAAAGATAGTATCTATATCAAAGTATTATATTACTAGTAGTCTCTTCTTTATGTATATTCGTATTACTCGATCACTGTAGCCTTAAATTTATGATAATCTATTCAGATTTTTTCTTAATCATTAATAATGTATACACTCTACAGACGTAACAATTCGAATAACCTTTAGAAACTTCATTTAATTATCGAATCCGAATAATAAGAAGAAAAGGCTTGTAAAATAAAAAGAGTGGCAATATCTAATATAAATTGTCAATATCCTTAAGGGGTTAAATTAAATTATAAATCATAAATATCTAATATCAAAAGGATTTTAATAAGAAAATACATAAATGGTCATTAAACAATATTGAAATAGTTCTTTCGGTTACTAAAGTTTTAAAAGTTATACAATATTCATTAAACTTATCAAAATGTTACGAAATGATCATTAAACTTTATCAAACTATTATAAAATAGCCATTAAACCTACAAATTATTACAAAGTAGTTCTTATACTTATCGAAATTTGTCACTACTTTATAACATAAAATGACTATTTTATAACAGTTTGATAAATTTAACAATCAATTATTGACTTTTGAAGTTTTAAGGACTAAAAATATCATTTTAACATAAATTGATTTTTATTTATATATTTTACACTAAATAAAAAGGGTATCGGTTAAGGGGTTGACATAGGGACCAAGGTACATGAAGAGTGAGAGGGGCTTTCTGTATATTTAAACTTAAGTAAAATTAAATTTTATTCCTTCTTATATTTTGGATTATATACTTAATAAATACATATTCTTTTAACTTAAATAATGAATCACTTTCAATACTTAATCCTAATGCCGTTCATGAATTATAAGAGAAATATAAATACATATTGTTTTAGTTCCTTATAAATTTAAACTTAAATAAAATTAGATCTTTATCTCATCTATTTCTTTAAATTAAATATTTAATAAATCCTTGTTATTTTAAACTCAAATAATTTATTTGCTTTCAGGATAAATTATGTGTTAGTACCTAAAATATCATTTTTTTTTTATCTATTTTAGTACCTAAACTTTCATTATTTTTTCAAAATCATGCCTAACATTTAGTTTTTGTTTTATTTTAGTACCCTGCAGTTAAAAACTTAACAAACGAGCTCTTCGGCCATCGCGTCTACAATCATCACTCGTTGCATCTGTCGGCCGATGAAGCCCAAACTTTTCAGCTTGCACCTTTTTGACCCCCTAAACGTGATTCCAGCCTTCGTTTCACCGGGAAACACATCAATCTCTCTCAAATCGACGACGGACTCTTCGATTTCTTCATCCTCCGATCTCCATGGTCCACCGTCTAATGGGCCTAAAACTGGACTATATTGGTCGACTCGTCATTCTCTCGTGGTCCACCATTCAAATTGGTCGTCGTCCACCAGAGCTATGCCACGTCAGCCCGTACTTTAAGTTTTTAACAGGGGTATTAAAATAAAACAAAAACTAAACGTTATGAATGATTTGAAAGGATTTTTTTAAAGTTTAGGTACTACAAAATACAAAAAATAATAGTTTAGGTACTAAACAAGTAATTTATCTTTATTTTTGATAATTAATCCTAATATCTCCCCTAAATTGAAAATGAATATATAAAAAAAAAAAGGTAGAGAAGATAAGAATAGTAAGGTGTAGAAAGACCCGTTGTATTAGAGAACAAAAACAGAAATTCAAGAAAATAGTTGTAAGAGTAAAGTATAAGAAGATGAAGGTTAGGAGGTAAAGGACAGGCAAACACTTTGAAACGCCGGTTCCCATAAACTGTAAGGCTAGTGTTTGACATTTTGCATTCAACTTAACCTTTTTTACATTACAACGCATAATATGATACGAAAAGATGCAACCTTTCCCACCTACTTTCTGCCACACCCTAACCCCAATGAATATTATTACCTAATAATAATTCTATTCCAATACACACTCATCCCTATACATCACATGCATTTCTATGCTACCTCCTATTACAATTATCTTTGTTTATATATATATTAAAGGGTAAACTATACGTTTAATACTCTAATTATCACTTTTATTTCATTTTGGTTATCTAGCTTTTTTTTGAAATTACAACTAATGTTTAGTTTTGGTTTCATTTGAGTCACCTACCGTTAAAAAACTAATGGTGATGCTAATGTGTCATCATTCAAAAAAATGTCACGTCAGTAGTTTTGTTAATTTTTTAACAACAGGCGACCAAAATGTAAGGTTAGGTATATTTTGAAGAAAAATAGTTGGGTGACCAAAATGAAACAAAAACATAAACGTTAGGTAGGATTTAAAAAAATAGTTGAGTGACCAAAACGGAATAAAACTGATAATTAGAATACTAAATGTGTAATTTACCCTATTTAAAGCTTGGCCGGATTGTAATTTTTTTATTAAATATAAAATAAAAATATTCGAGTTAGGACGAGATAATTTAGGGATAGGTTTTTACACTGTAACTCGGGCGAGTTTGGGACGAATCAAGATTAGATAGAAGCCTTTAATTTTCAGGTCAGAGTTAAGGCAATAAAAATTTGATTCGTCCTATCATGAGTTCATCCTTAATCGCAATATGTGTAAACAATAAAATATTTTATGGAAAAACATATTTAAAAAACTTATATCAATACACTGTTACAACTAAAGTAATAACAAATTATCTATAAATTCATTAATATTATATTTATTTGATTCTCAAAATCGATTTTGAGTTAATTTATTTAAAAGTTATATAAAAATCTCAAAATGAAAAGGTAATTGTGAAAATTTCTTCACTAATAATAATCCTTAATATACAGTATAGATGTTTTAAAATATAACTCTAGGTGTTTAATATTTTTACGAATTTTGATTATATTTTTGGAAATGATTAGCTCTCCACCATTTCAATTGAATAGATAGCTCGGTTTACTAAAGTTGAGTAATGTCTGGGAACATCCACGTGTTTTACTATAACGAAATACAAGATCTAACGATTAAATCTATTTAATTTGTTGATTATAGATACCATAATAACATTATACTTAGCCCTCTTAGATAAAATCGTTATAAATATCTTACATCCACGGTTGAGAGGGAAATTCCTTCTTATTCTTCCCTCCACACTCTTGTCTAAAAACTCATCTTCTTTCTCGCACTGTTTCCATCATACTCTCACATAGAATTATCGACTAAACATCGATGCTCTTTCATCAATCATTACTCTCCACCTAAACTAGAAGAAGTAAATCGACAACGAATAACGAGATCAATCTATTCTCGTCAACATGAATAAAATTAAGAACATTAAAATATCAAGGCTTAATATACTTTTTAGTGCCTAAATTATATCTTAAAATATGATTTGACGCCTAAAGAATTTTGCGTTAAAACCAGGTGTCTAACGTTTTCAACGTTACACTTTTAAGTGTATAAACCGTAATGACTATTAAATTTG